GGAAACTTGCCCAAGGTTTCGCCCTCTGCCTGGAATTGAACTCAGGTCTCTCACTTGCAAAGCGAGTGCTCTAACCACTGAGCTACAGGACTCCACAAGTCCACAAGATGAACGGAGAGAGCGGGCAGGTTGGTAGGGAGTCAGCAGGTCAGAGAGGTAGGAGGGGGCAAGGCCATGGATGGCCTTAAAGGTGAGGATGAGGATCTTGAACTCAATCCTTTGGGGGATGGGGAGTCAGTGGAGTCAGGCGAGGGTGGGAGTGATGGGGTCGTGGAGCCCGGTGCGTGAGAGTACACGAGTTGCAGTTTTGGATGATCTGCAGCTTGTGAAGGGAAGAGTTGGGAAGGCCGATGAGGAGGGAGTTCCTGTAATCAAGCCTTGAGGTGACAAATGCATGTGAGAGTTTCGGCAGCCTGAGGGGTGAGGCAATGTTGCGGAGGTGGTGGTAGGCAGTGCCGGTCATGTCGTGGATGTGGGGGAGAAAGGACAGTTCAGGGTCAAACAAGACACCCAGGTTCCTGACTGGCTTAGTGAGGTTGAATGTACATCCATGGAGGCTGAGGCTGCCAGCACCTGAGGTGCGGAGGTGCTGGCACGAGTCAATCAGGAGGGCCTTGGTCTTGTTGACATTGAGTTGGAGAAAGTTATCCCTTGTCCAGGACTTGATGTCGGACAGGCAGTCGGTCACGACGCCAGTAGTCCTGGAGTTCAGGATGGAGGCAGAGAGGTAGAGTTGGGTGTCATCCTCATACATGTGGAAATTTACCCCAAGTCAGCGGATGATGTCACCAAGGGGGAGCATGTAGAGGGTGAAGAGGAGGGGACCAAGGACAGAGCCCTGAGGAACACCGCACGAGACAGTACGGGGGCTGGAGGAGAAAGCAGCTGGAGGAGAAAGCAGCTGCATTGAATGAAATTGAAAACATCAAAGACAAGAGGACAGCCACATGGCTTTTATCGTATCATGGCTGCTGTCATGATTTTAGATTTTAGATGAGAACGTGATGAACAAGAGGCTTAGATTAAGGAAAGTCAAAAAACTCCATCCAAGCGGTGGTAGGGCCAGAATGGCTAAACTGGAACGAACAAGGAGCAGTACCCAAGGAGATTGAGGCTCTGCAGGGAGGCGATTATTGAACTGTATCTAATGCTAGCAGATGACATGAGGATCCCCTTTGAGAAACACTGCTCTGACTGTGGCTGTGCAGGTCACACTTGCTCTGAATTGCTCACTGACTTATTCAAACACATGCTTGTGATTTAGTGGCCACTAATCAGAGTATGATGTCCATCTGGACTAATGGTATGGTTGATGCACTGTTGCAGAAGGTACTCACAGGCTTATCAATTGGTATATAGATACAAAACCAGAGAGTGTTAGCCTGGCACAGTTGAGTTAGAAAGTTGTGGGTTCTTTGAACCCACTGTCTAGTCTGACACTGCAATACAGTGCTGGAGGTGTGCTGCAGTGTCGGAGGTGCCACCCTTTAGATGAGAAATTAAACTGAGTTCCTGTCTGCCTGTACAGGTGGACATTAAAGATCCTGTGTCACTATTTGAAGAGAAGGGAGTTAAGGCTGTTATGTTAACTAGCAATATGTGGTATGAACACCCAACTTTCTGACGCAGAGGCAAGACCACGATAGTACCAGCCACACCAAATCTAAGAAATGCACCCACGTTGTGACCAACAACAAATAACATTGGTCATTCATTTCAAGATCATTTATGGGAAATTACTGTGTATAAATGGGCTGTCGAATCTGAACACCTAGGAACCTAGGTGTATGTTTGACCCTCAACTGTCTTTTCTTCTCCACATCCAAGCCATGACAAGCTCTGCCTTCCCTCACCTCCGTAACATCGCCCAACTCCGCCACTACCTCGCCCCTCAGGCCGCTGAAACTCTTGTTCATGCCTTCATCAACTCCAGGATCAACTCTGCAAACGCCCTGCTTGTCGGCCTTCCCAACTCCTCCCTCCGCAGGCTGCAGATAATCCAGAACTCTGCAGCCCGTGGTCTCTCTCACACCAAACTCCCCCATTCTCGCCCGACTCTATTGGCTCCCTATCCTTCAGAGGATACAGTTCAAGATCTTGGTCCTCACCTACAAAGCCCTCCATGGCCTCGCCCCACCCTACCTCTGCGACCTCCTAACCCACTACTAACTGCCCATTCCCTCCGCTCAGTCGGCTCCGGCCTGCTCCATGTCCCCCTACTCACCCGCCCCACCATTGGCGGGAGAGCCTTCAGCCACTCTGCCCCCAACCTCTGGAATTCCATCCCCCAATCACTCCACCTCACCCCCTCCTTAGCCTCCTTCAAGTACTGCCTCAAAATCCTCCTCTTCGACCATGCCATGGGTTACCCCCCCTTCCCCTCTCCTCCCTTCTCTCTCCCTGACCCCAGCTCATGTCTGAAATGCTGTACACTGTCCAGCGTCTTGGGACGTCCTCCCTAGGTGAAAGGCGCTATACAAATGTAATCTTGTTGTTGCCCAAAAATTCACAAGCACTCCACTTCACAGTAAATCCTATGAAGTTTTTTGAGATATGAAAGGCACTAAAGTAAATGCAAGGATTAATTATTATGTAAAGAAAAAATAAAAGTAATGAGGTTATAGAAGTTTAAGGTCAATCAATTACCAATTGTTGCAGTTAGGGCAATCTTCTGGACATGGAAAGAGATGTTACCTATCTAGCTATTCTCAAGCATACAAACAGATGTCTCATGCTAGCCTTGCACCCTTGGTAAATGTCAGACATATACCAATGATTACTAAATAGTATTTCAATCCTTGCATTTAATAGAGTAATCATATATTCAAAGGTAATTGCTATGGAGTACACAGTCACAAATTTGCACACAAGGTTTTACAAACAGCCATAAAGTGAATGAGTGAATTATCTGGATTATCGGCCAGGACACCAGAGAAAAAAAAACCTACCGGTTTTGAATAGCGCCATGGGATCTTTAACATCCCCTAAACATGCACACGGACTTCACTTTAACGTCCCAAAGATCTGCAGCTCCCACGATGCAGCACATACCCAATAGTGTACTGGAGTGTCAGCCTATGCCATTGGTAGCCAACCAAATCATTTATTCTTTATTGAATTTTTCTTCATTTATGGCATGTCATGGGTATCGTGGCTCCTGGAAACAAGATATTGATATGGCGCGGACTTGCCTGGACTGGTGTGGGTGTTTGGTGGGCCACTTCTTGATGCTCCAAAAAGTCGAACTCGTTCAACCAGTGGAGACCCCAGGCCTAGACCGCGACATTAAAGTCCTAACGTGGGGCTTGAATCCTAAATCTTCTGACCTGAAGACAAGAGTGCTACCAATTGAGCCAGGCTGGCAACCCTTAACCACACTAAACTGTTGTCAACAGGGACAATAACATGGGTGCCACTTCTTTATAGGCAGTAGGATTATTAGCAAAGTTATGGTGCCAGTATGACTCACACATGTCTCTCCCTCCCAGGCACCTCCCCTCAAACCGTCTTGCAGTTTTCTGCATTCAGAAGTAACAGAAAATATCCCACAGGGTTATAAGTATTTGCAGGAAACTAGCTTTGTAGGGGTGGCTGTGGTCAAGGGTTATGTTGATTCCAACCCACTTGATTTATGGGAATGATCTGAAGGGAAATGGCAATTGCTTGGGGCCATTGTGCACACAGGGCCATGATTTTCTGTTAATATTAGCTTTATATTCCAAGGGGTCACCACTACTGCCCACTTTTCCTTGGTGAATCAGGTCTTTCTGGGGTTCACATCCAGCTATTTCGCAGATTCGGAAGGAAATCTCGAAACGTAACACCTACCAACAACCAGTACCTTGGAGATAAAAAAATAACTACATACAAGATTGTGAAATATTCAGATGGAGAAAGCCCTTGGATCTATTTCATCTAATTGTTCCAAGAGTACAAGCCAATATTTTGTCATTCCTTCATCAGTGCTGCATGATTGTCGTCGGTGTGTAAAAACATGCTTACTGAAGTCTATCCTAAACTTGACATTCAGAATCCACATTTTGTCCTGCCGGGAATCGAACTCTGGTCTCTCATTTGCGAGCTGAGAGTTCTAACCACTGAGCTACAGAACTCCACTATGCTCTGATGAGGCTGCACCTAAAACACTGCGTACAGTATTGTTCCCTGCGACATAAGGCTTCCTAGGCCCGAGGCAGGACAGATGAGAGCAACAACGATGATTGCAGTGTTAAGTGTTAGAGGAATGAGCTATGAGCAACAATTAGACAAACTGCAAGGCTCTTCAACCTTGAAGACAATGACTCAAAGGGGACCTCAGACCTGTAGAAATTATAGATGGATTGTAAAAGTAAACCCAGAGCAATACTTTAGGATGCAACAACAGCAGAAGGGGACATTGGTTTAGAGTTGTAAAAGGCAACTTAATAACAAACACCAATGTTTTTCTTTACTGAAAGGGAATTAACAATTGGAACAGGTTCCAAAAAAGGTGGTTGAGGCCAGGACACTGATCTTGTTTAAAAAACACCTTGATGCTTGATGGGAGGTCAGTAGATATTCTGGAAGGATGAGATCAGATCACCTGAAGGCCCTTTTGCAACCAAATCTTATGATTTCTAGCAAATCAACTCTTTATTAGTTTGCATAGCCCAAGCTCATTGTTCATTATACCTAATTGGGGAACATCATTGTTGCTCTGCTCAATGCCTCTATAGGACCTTGTGCACTTCAGGAAAAAGTTCACCAGAAAAATGTACAAATCGAATGTGAACTGTTAAGATTTGAATTCACCCAAGGCCTGAAATTTCACTGCATTGCAATGTCAGCTAGACTGTGAGCTCAAACTCCTGACTTCGGGCTTGAACCCGCAACCTTCTGACTCAGAGATAGGTGAGAGTGCTACCAAATGAGCCAGGCCTTTACACGGTCAGCTTCATAGGATAAAACATACTGCAGGAAGGTGAAACTTTAATAACAGATTTTATTGTGCACAAACTCAGTTTTATATTTCACTGGTTATAATTTACTTTCAAACAGAATGAGGTCCAGTTGCTATCTATGTTCAAAAGATGTCAAATGATGATTTGAGATCACCGAGATTAGTTGATTTAATTGTGTGAAAATACAACCAAATCTTATTTTTCGGTGTAACAGAAGATAATATATCTAACATCTGAGTACAATTTAACTATGTAAAATAATGTACAGATTTTTTTAAAACTATTCCCACAGATTATCTCATTAATGAACTATACAACACGCATCTTGCATGCATCTCAACACTTCGTTCAATAAGTTGTACTGCTGAATCAAAGATTTGTGTCCTGAATAAAAATTGTGTTCTTTCCTCGCAGTTGGGTAGATGCACATCTTGAAGCTTCTGAAAGACAGAAAATTGAGCTTCCATTTAATTTAGATTTCCTACATTGGAGTGCAGTGGGGTCAGATTTGCAGGATTCTTGGCTGGTTGAATTAATTATAAGCTTCTTAAAGTGCTTTACAGAATATACTGTAAAGTGTATGTGTATTTTGCAGGTGAAACATGGTGGCCAATTGTGTATTGCAGTGTCCCACAAACAGTCGTGGATTGAGTCACCATTTTTTAAATATTTGGAGGGATTATTACCCCCAGAAAGCAATCTGCCAATCAACTAACAACCGGGTTCCTACTTACTGCTAGCTAAACAGAGGTGTGGAGTAAGGAAAATTGCCTACGTTTTCGCCTCGGCCGAGAGTCAAATCCGGGTCCTCTCGCTTGAGCGGCGAGCATGCTAGCCACTATGCTACGAGACTCCGAGGCTATAAAGTTACAAAGGGTACAGTGACAGGGTGGGGCATTGGGATTAAAAGACCTCTTAAGATTTAATAAAGAGGTGCAACAGGCTCGATGGGTTGAACAGCCTCCTCCTATTCTCAGTTTCCTACACTCCTATGATTCACAGGAAACGATTGTAAATAATGAATCCTGCAGGAGTATCCTCTCATACTCCGCTTAAATGCAGACCTCAATTTTGACTTCTGTGAAAACAGACCTCAGCTGAAGGAAAGGATTGTTCTGGTGTCCAACAAAAAGCTGTTGTACAAGTGGACTCCCAGACAGTCGGTTTGCAACATCCAGGTAACTGCAGGATCCACTGTTATCAAATCCTTTTGTAAATCTTGCAAATTACACTCCAGCTTCTTTAGTAAGTGCACACTAGAAGTTTTTTTTATATTTTCCCTTTACTTACCTTTTCTAATATTTAAATTATCCCACCAGCACCCCCAACTGAATTTAAAATCTTTGTGCATATTTTGTTCACACAGAGGTTGAAACCTATTCCTGGGCCACATCAGAAGCTTTAAGGATAGAAATTACCATTTGTTCCCATTGGCAATGTAGTTTCATTGTCAACTACATTTCTTTTCTCTTCAACACATCCTTTAATTCCTTTAGTTCTTCAGAAATCCAGTTGGTTCTTGAACTCATTTATACAATCTGCTTCAATAATATTCCCTGCAACCCGCTCCACAGGTTAATTGCACTATGACAGAAATGTTTCCTTGCTGTGTCTCTTACTTCAAACTTACTAACATGTATCCCTAGTCTAAAACCTTTATCATATTGAATCCTTGTAACACTATAAAATTTGCTGCTGTGGAGCTATTTTGAGCAATTAAACTCAAGATTGGATAAATCAGATACAAGATCTGGAGCAATTGAACATCGGATAGATTTTAATGTAGACGAATGAGAATTAATGCATATTGGAATAGTCAACGTGTACAGAATGAAAGGCTATTCACTATACTTGGATTTGGGTGCCTCCACTTATTACAAATACACCATGTGTTCATTTTGCACACGTCCAAACACAACACTATTTGCAGCATGCCAGCAATTGTGGGTGCCTGTGACAAGAATGGAGAAAACTCCAAAGGTAGGTAGATGTTACTTTGTGTTTCTTCTCCAAGACAAGACTCCAAGTCTCCAAGTTTTATTCATAAAAACACGTTTTCCGTGCTATTCCACAGGCAATGCCCCCACCCAATCCTTTGTTGACCTGCAATACTCAATTCTCTAGAAGTCCAGCAATTCTTTCTCAACTTGGCATCATTTTTACAGATTTTAAATTCACAAAACATCAAAAGACATTTTCACTGGTCACTGAACAAGTGTATAAACACTTATCCCAAGTAAATTGCTAATCCTATAAATGATCGGTTCATTTCATTTGGCTGAAAGTCTTGTCAATTTTCCAACAACATCTGGAGGATGGAAAGTGATAATAGCATTGAAATCATTTATTCGTAGAAACACTCTGAGCTATGTTTAGACTGCCCAGTGGAGCCTAGTTTGGTCTTGAGATTAGATTTAGGGCAATTTGCCCAAAAAACAGTAAACTCTGAAAACAGTTTCCAATCTCATATCTCCAAAACTCCAAACCATAGAAAAAAATCCTGAATACAGCAGCAAGAAGAGTAGCTATAAATTAATGACACCACATGGTTATGCGTTAGGATTGCGTGATGTTTCCCGTTGTGATTCATCTGAGTGGATATTGATATGACTTTGTTATGGCCGACCCCACTATATCACGCCCACTTTAACGCAGGTTCACTTAAAGAGTGCGGTCGTGGACCTGTATATCAGAAGCCGGAATTGGCCAGCTTCCTGCATATAGCACTCAGGCACAGAAGACCACTCGGTGTCAAGGAATCTCAGCAACCACTGGAAATGCTCGTCCATGTGAGGCACACAGGAAGTGACATAAGCAGCTAACTGCTGACCCAGAAGAAATGAACAACATCCATTTTCATGGCACATAATGTTCTAATACAAAGTCTGAGGACTCACACCACTGCATTACAATGGGGTCGGCCTTTAGTAAATCCAAAGCAGTAAAATTGCAGCCACGTTCATCAGTCTGAACAAAACACAATGCTAAAACTCTGTTCAATAGATTATTCTCCGCTTGCCAAGAAATTTATTGGCCTGTGGGCAGTTATTCTCTATCGTCATTTCCAGGTATTGACACAGAGGGTTTACAAACTCATAGCACCCAACATAATCAACAGCAACAAACTCAGTCAACAACAACAAGATTCCATTTATAGAGTGCCTTTCACGTCGGGAGGACGTCCCAAGGCGCTGTGTCAATAATAACCCTCATTGTGTTCAGAGAAGCATAGGGATCTATCCCATGCTGATCGCTAAGAATCTTCGCATGACATGTATAGAATGCATAAATACCGTGCTGTAAAAATATTAGGAGTAATGGTGAAAAAGCTATAACATGGTATTAACAATATGATAATACAAGTAATGGTGGCAAAGGCAGGATGGGACCAATGGTTTCCTATTTGTGCTGCAATTTTTTCTTTTTTTTTCAATTTTTTCCTAATCTCAGGTCTCTGCTGAAGACCTTTCTTTTCGACCGCGTCTTTGGTCACCTTCCTCCCCCTCTCCCTGGCTCGGTCCCGGGATCCATTACCGTGAAGCGCTGAGACGCCGTCCAGCATGGAGGGCGCTATATAAATCCAAGTTGTTGTTGTTGCTGCTGCAAACGTCTGTACCTAATGGAAAATCCCATCCAAAGACACAACTAAAACCTTTCTATTTTTAACAATCGCCACACGTCGATTCAACTTGTGCCTCAACCTTCACTCTTCAAACTTGCTTCAAAATGCAACATGGCTTGTACCAATTTGAAAACCCATTTCAGGCATAGTGTAATTTATAAAAGTTTAAATTTGTTAAGACTCTTCCCAGAGGAATGTAAACTAGATGTTCGGATTGTTGAAGAGCTGCAGAAAATGCTTCAAATGGAAACATGAATTTTCTAGGTTTGCGGGACCAGGAGGCAGTGCTAGCAAAATGATAGGCACAGTGGAGTCCTGTAGCTCAGTGGTTAGAGCACTTGCTTTGCAAGTGAGAGACCGGAGTTCAATTCCAAGCAGGGTGAAACCTTGGGCAAGTTTCCTTATTCCACACACCTAATAATAATCCCTCCAAAAAAACAAAACAATAATAAATTGGTCATTTTCAATCCACGACTGTTTGTGGGACATTGCTGTGCGCAATTGGTTGCTGCGTTCGCCCACAAATATACAGTCAATTCACTTTACAGTGTGTTCTGTGAAGCGCTTTGGGACGTCTAGAAGACGTGAAAAGCGCTATATCAAATGCAAGGATTATTATTATTATTATGAGCAGTTGTGATTTGGAAGGGACACTGCAGTGTTTTCAAAGTCTGCAGAGACCTCTGCAGTACACTTATTATACTGCACCTATAAATAGTTTGATATGTTTAAAGTGCCACACTTTAAAAATACTCATTTCATTTTTGTGCGAAACAAGAACCTGGTGTGCAACAGCTGTTGCTTTCGTTGTAATATTATATGTTACATACATATCAAATTACAAAAATTATACTCACAAATAGCAACTAAACTATAGCCAGAAAATATCAGAAAAACCATATATCTGAATTAGCATCTATAACATCAATGTGCTTCATATGTAGTGACAATTTTATTTTTTGTAGGCAAACATAGCTATTTTGATCAAGTTCCACAAATAAGGTGAACAACATTTTATTTACAGAACTGTTGACCAGGACACTGAAAGAGAAGAAAGTTTGTTGCAAACAGTGCCATGAGAACATCAATGTATACTTGAATAGGACCCGAGTTTAACATCTCATAAAAGGTAGTACATCCGAAAAAATCAACACTGCCCCAGTACTGACCTGGAGTCTTAGCCTAAATTGGGCTTGAACTAGAATGGTACCAATTGAGCCATCCTAACAACTATGCACTGAACCAGTGTGAAACCAAAGTAAGTTACCAAAGCCAGTAAAGTTGGATTTCACACACACACACACATATATATATATATATACATATACACACACACAGTTTCCTTTCTCCTCTCAATCATGCTGAAGTTTTCAATGCACTGCCGTCACTGATGTATTGGTGTAATTTTTAAAGGCCCATCAATTTAAGTTTAATCAATTTGCTTCAGTCATTTTATCCCCAATCTGGGGCGATGCAGTTGAAAAAGCACTCAAACCGACTCACAATATAAAGTATGTTTTCTGCAAAGAAATCCCCTGTACATAACACCTTGACTCTGATCGGAGATCTGCTTGGAGCTGAGGTCTCGCGAGTCAGCAAGATGCACAGGAGATTCCCTATAGAAAACAGTTTCTGGCACAAAGTACTTTTCTAGCGATTATTTTAGAGGACTTATGCAGCAAAATATTTCAATAACAATGTGATTTCTATAACAGGATTAAATGCTTAACTCAGTTGGTGGTACTATCGACTCTGGCTCAGAAAGTTCAGGTTCCAGGCCCAGGTTTGGACTTGAGCTCAGACTAGACTGATACTCCAGGGCAGTACTGGGAGAAGCAGTGTATTGTCAATTTGCCAGCATTCCGACATGGCGTTAAAACCAAAGTTCAAACTCAGTTTAAAGACACTATTTGGATATTAAAGATCCTTCTTGAATAGAAATGGGAATTTCTCCCGGTGTCCTGGCAAACAGTCTTCTAGATTAGTTAATCAATTATTGTCTGTTTGATCTCATTTCTGGAACTTTACTGGTACAAATTGCTACCTACAAAGCACTCACTATATTTAACAGTAATTATCTATGAAACGCTTGAAGACAGTTCAATGGGATAAAAATGCAAATTATTTCTGATCACAAAAGTGCACTAGATTTTAATATCAATCTTTGAAGCATGTTAAACCAAATAGGTCAGCACTAACCTGTTCTGCATTTTATTATCCAAGTAATTTATGGTCCTGAAAAAGTAAAGAGAGAACAATTATATTCAAGCAATAAACCCTAGGTTATGTTAATTCTTGTATTTCGTGAATTTTTTTGCAACACTGAAAAGACAAAAACTCTATATGCCACTCATTTTAAGCAAAAAAATGTTTGGAGTACATTTTAATTTCTTCTGTCATAGAAGGAAATTGGGTCCAATTGTCAACAGGCGCTAATCTGCTATTCTAATTTTTATGATGAGTTTAGTATAAAGCAGTTCAAAAGCTGTAATTTAAACACTAATAGAACAAACTCCGGATGTGTCTCGGTGCATTCCGTTCAAATAAACACATATATTGTACATGTTGCAGCTCAGACTAAATCATTGCAGACATCATACAAGCCAAAATAGTTTCCATTATAATCAACTGATTGACAGCTGTGGGCAACAGTCTTCATTCACTGACAGAACAGAACAAAGTAGTGTATATTACCCACTGACTTACATAGTTGTCACTTCAGGCTATATCTCCAGTAGATAGGCAGAATGCACTTTTGACATATCACTGCGTTTTCAAGGATATTCAAAATTACCTTGCATTTTATGCACATTTTTCTATCCTACTTTGTCTCAATATGACATGCTCTCAGGCACTTGCCAGTGACACTAACAACTGGCTCATAAAACACTGAATTGCAGCTCAGAGTGTATGGAGTTTCCTCTTCTCACTAGCAAGAAAAGCTCCCAAATAGAAAGTCCTATATTCCATCCATGACAGGATCACAACATGCTGTGTTATAACACTTGCCCATTGCCCACACTTGTCCAGCGTTAGCTCTTCCATGGACAGAAGCAAGCTGATGGTCTGCCAGCTGGCTCCATGACACACAAACATTCAAAAACAGCGTCGTAGAGAGAAGAAACAACTACAAACAAACCAATTCTGAGTCACCCACCAAGAAATGCTGAATGAACATGCAGAGAAACCAAGCTCCAGCAATTCATTCGTTCTTAATAAAACAAATTCATAATAAAATCATCACCTCAAAAACATGTCACCTCAAAGTCAGAGTAATAAAACAAAATGTATAATCGCTATATTTTTCTCCTATGGTGGATTAACTTTAGTCCAAGGATATAATGAAACATTCATGGAAACTTGGGTTCCTGCCTTAGTGTCTCCAGTCTTGTGTGATGTAAATTCTTTCTGGTTGAGTTACCCATTACCTCATGCTGTCTAACTTTTTTTTATTCCTAGTTCAATTTGGATTTTAGTGCTTCATTTCAGCACTCTTGTATTAAATGAGCTACTGATAACAAAAATGCTAATTGAATAAGAGGGTCACAAGTCCTTTTTTGTCCCACACATCAAAAATCAGCCATTGAATCAGAGTACCCAGCCTCATGGTTTTTGGTTGGTTTTTCCATCAACCTCACATCTTCTCTACCACAATACGATCCCCTCCCCAGGCCACAGGGCATTGTTGGTAGTTTGCACTGGGTATTCTACTGTATTTGACAAAAATGATAACTAATTTGGGACTCAATGCTGTCGAAAGGATGACAGGCAAGATACTATTATTACTACTTTTGTATGGCAAGAAAGGTGATTAGCAATGTTCAAATAGCCAAATCCAGATTAGTGAGCCAGTGGGTAGCTTCAGAAGTAGCTTGGTGTAAGTCTGAAATACTGTGGGAAAATGCTTCAAGCGGGCATTGATTTACATTGTGGTCCATAGTTTACGACTGGTATCCAGTCACATTGCTCGTTGTCTCTCACCTTCCAGAGGTGGAAGAAAGGCAAGATGCTCCCTGATTTCAATCACTGAAGCCCTGTAACTACCCAGTCAGGTGCTTGAGTCAGGTTTAGATCAATTTACACTCTATTCTTCCTCTTCCCCCACCCCCTCCAACCAGCTTCTCAGTTCAGTTTCTCAATGTCTAGAATATTTGCTGGATATCAACATTTTGTGCCAAAGAACTTTTGCATCTTTTAGATTGCAATGCAATTGATTCAATTTGAAATTACATCTGTCAAGTAATAACCAGTGCAATTAATTTTAAGCCAATATTTCCTCTCACTTGTTTCTATGAAAATGGATTCTATTGTACTATATAACTATAAAGGGAATTTCAAGTCATTAGTAGCTTCAGTCAGATCCTTTTCTCATTCTCACTGTACCAATACTAATCCTTTGCATGTTTATATAGGCCAATTTAACACCCATCATACTCAGAGCTGAAGTCTAGACAGTGTAATGTCTTGCCAGAATTTGTTAAGCAGTCACATTAAGATAAATTAACAATCATATTTAAAAAATACAATTGGACTTCATTACATCTGAACACTCGTGCCAACCTTTCTTATAAGATCACAAGAGAACATAGAATTATAGAATTATACAGCACGAGGGCCATTCGGCCCATCGTGTCTGGCCGGCTCTTTGAAAAGAGCAATCCAAATCAATCCCACTCCCCCGCTCCCTCCCCCTAGCTCTGAAAACATACTCTCCCCAAATAATTATCTACTTCTCTCTTAAAAGTTGTTATCGAATTGGCTTCCACCTCCCTTTCAGGCAATGCATTCCAGATCCGAACAACTCGCTGTGTGAAAATATTTCTCCTCACCTCCCCTGTTTCTTTTAACAATTATTTTAAATTGGTGTCCTCGGGTTACCGACCCACCCGCCAGTGGAAATAGCTTCTCTTTGTTCATCCTATCGAATCCCCTCATAATCTTGAAAACTTCTATTGAGTCTCCTCTTAACCTTCTCTGCTCCAAGGAGAATAATCCTAGTTTCTCTAACCTCTTCTCATAACTGAAGTCCCTCATTCCTGATACCATCCTGGTAGATTTCCTTTGCACCCTCTCCAATGCCTTGACATCCTTCCTGAAGTGTGGCGCCCTGAACTGAACACAGTCTCTAGCTGAAACTTAACCAGTGTTTTATAAAGGTTCATCATAACTTCCCTACTTTGGTATTCTATGCCCCTATTTATAAAGCCTGGTATCCCACATGCTTTTTTAACAGCTTTATCTACCTGTCCTGCCACCATCAAAGATTTACTTATATGAACCCTTAGGTCTCTCTGCTCCTTCACTCTCCTTAAGATTGTATCATCAGCTTATATTGCCTCTTCTCATTCTTCCTCCCAAAATGTATCACTTCACATTTCTCCACATTAAACTTCATCTGCCATGTGTCTGCCCATTTTACCAGTCTGTCTATGTCCTCTTGTGGACTGCTACTATCCTCTTCACCGTTTACTACTTTTCCTAGCTTTGTATCATCTGCAAACTTGGAAATTGTACTCCCTATACCCAAGTCCAGATCATTTATACATAAATCAAAAAGAGATGTGGTCCCAATAACGAGCCCTGGGGAACACCCTCCACATCATTCACTCTTCAGTCTTCCCATCACAGCATCAAATTTTAAATGTCCTGGCCTCAATCATGCCTCCTGGTAACCTGTTCCAGTTATTAATCACTCTCTCGATAAAGCGATACTTTCTGGTATATCTCCTAAAATAACACTTTGTAACCCTAAACCTGTGTTCTCTTGTTCTGTCATCTCAGTGCATGTAAAAGTAATGTTTTGGGTTTACTTTCTCAATCTCACGGAATATTATATGAAATCCATTGATCACTGTAGCCATGAGAATGGCTCAAATCCAAACAATAAGATGACTTTTAAGTAGTTTAATTACAATGGATAGTTTAATTACTGCACATCCTCCATTGCAATGCCTTTAGTTACCAGTGCTAAAAAAATACAATCCTATTACCCAATGCATGAATTTGATTTGCAAGTGTTACCAATCATTTCTATCCAACATGTATAATAATGAACAGCACAAGTTAAGGTAGATCCATCCTTGTATCCTAACTTGGCAGCTTGAGTCAAAAAATGGTTGTCAGATAATTTTTCCCTGCTCACTGCTAAACTGACGCAGTCCCAAAGTAAATATTGTAGAATTGTTACCTACTGGAATTAAAAGTATTGTGCACCATCCAGGGAAAATATCCATTTAGTCTAACATGTGTGTTCATCGAGATTAGAAAACATGGGTGGTGGTAATGACCAGGGAAATCATTTTATTTGTAAAGGCCCGGTTATAGCTTAGAAGACTATAAAACATCTTTCATACTGCTGAATATCATAACCTATTTCTTTTAACTTTATATATCCCAAATAATTCTTCACATGAATTATACACAAACTATTCATCAGAGATATAAAAAGTGAATAGTGACACTTACTCATTAGAAGGTTTGCAATGGTTATTGGAGGCCTAGAAAGTGACGAAGCTGGTATTGAGCAATAAGGTACGTTTCTGTAACTGGAAGTATCCCAAGTATCTCTACGACCAGGTACAGCAGCTAACAGAGAGCCTGAAAGCCCAATTCTTTGCACAGGCGTTGAGAGAGGTGTACTCCTGTAAAATAAATAACAAATCCATTCTTGATGGTAATAAGCAGCACAACACACTAGTAACGCATGTCTGACCAACACAACACAGAAAAAGCACTCATTTACAGAAAATAATGTAAACCTTGCTGTTGTTACAGAAGCACATTCTGAAAGCCCCAATATTTTTAAGAGATACTCCAAGAAAACTATTTTTAGGGTAACTGTTTTAGTTCTCTTTGCTCCCATTTTCTCTGCTCTCATGTCATCACCTATCCCAGCTGAGCAAATGGGTTCAAGATCTCTACATCAATTCTGGAAGCTGGACGAGAGAAGATTGGAGTGATCTGACCTGGAATTTTATTTCTTTCTCTGGGGGAAGGGGAGGAAAGAGGATGAAGAGTCCATGGCTTCATTGTGGGACATTCTTGTGCATAATTGGCTGCTGCGTTTCAACCAAAAAATATACAGTGAATCCGCTTTACAATATATTCTGTGAAGTGCTTTGAGAGTCTCAACAATGTGACAATGTGAAAAAAAATCAATAAATTGGTCATTTCAAACCATGACTGTTTGTGGGACACTGCTGTGCGCAATTGGCTGCCACATTTCGTCCACACAAAAAAATACAGGTAATTCACTTTACAGTCTATTCTGTGAAGCGCTTTGAGACATCTAGAAGACGTGAAAAGCGCTGTATCAAATGCAAGGATTTTTATTATTATTATTATTAAGGTGCTATATCAAACGGATGGGATATTATTACTATATATTATTAAGCATCATTGTTTAACAGATTAAATGTATGCAATTCAAGGGTATACGCTGTTATGCTACTCCATGGCATCGGGAGCAATCCTGTCAACAAGTTTGCAATTTGGCTATGGAGTTCCTGTGGTGCTTCACAGGCAGTCTACCACAGCAGGGTAGACTCTGGGGGGAAATAATCCCTTCAAAACAAAAATAAATTTTAAAAATAATAATTTGGTCACTCAATCCACGACTGTTTGTGGGACACTGCTGTGCTCAATTGGCTGCCGCATTTCACCCACAAAATATACAGTCAATTCACTTTACAGCATATTCTATGAGGTGCTTTGAGACAACTTGAAGACATGATAAGGCGCAATATCAAATGCAAGGATTATTATTGTAAGAATTGCACACAAACACGTACACACAAGCATGTAACAGGTTAGAAACAGCTTTAAATATGTTAGATTATTTCCAAGCATGAGACACATTGTTCATTACATACCTAAAAGCTCCTAGTTCAGCCATTCCTCTGTAATGTACAAAACCTAAACCAAAAATTACTTTTTGTCAATGACGCCCCATAAAGAAAACATTTAAATAAATCAGGGAAACTTTTCATTCAATAGACAACAATTAGCAAGGCCAAAAAATTGGCATTTTTTGCCATGTATTTTGCCCTCCTTACAAGCACACTCAGTGGTACTCCCACAAGAGAATAAATGTGTGTATGGAGGGTGGGGGGAAGATGGTTCTTGGCCTTTAAAGATATCATCACAATTATAAGTAATTCAAGGAAGGGTTTTGTTGTTTCCACCTCCAAATGTACTCACACCATCTTCCTGAAGCTATATATTTCTCTAATGGTTTGGTGCCAAGAGTGCCCTTACCCCAAACCTGACTCTCGTGGCATGTCTTCATGTGTGTGTACATAAAGTGAGTGTCAGAAGAGTGATTTGACTGTGGGCTTCTCACAATTTATGGGCTTATTCTATGTTGTCCTCACCAGTAGGCGTTCACAATCCAACGGGTTCACTGGACAGTATTGATTAATCGGGACACTATCCAAAGTGGGGCTTTTTCCAATTTTCCATGAATCCTGTTCCTTTGTGAAGGAAAAGATTTGCTGGAGCACCACATTGGCCAATACCAACAAACATATTGGGCCTTGGAATCACATAGGCTAAGCTGACACCCCAATGAATGCTGGGGGGGTGGTGAGGATGTTGCATTGTCGGAGGTGCCGCCCTCACATGAGACGTTAAACCCAGGTCCAGTCTGCCGTTCAGGTGGATGTTAAAGATTCATGGCTCTATTCAAAAATAGAAGGGAGTTTCTCCTGGTATCCTGGCTAATAATCCCTCAAGTAAAACTATTCATTTACTGCAGGGTTGTTTGTGGGACACTGCTGTGTGCAAATTGGCTGTCGCATTTGCCCATAAATAATCACTCCACTTCACAGTAAATCCTATGAAGCGCTTTGGGACATCCTCCTGATGTGCAAGGATGATTATTATTATTTTAGTGTTATTATTAATAAACATACTTGCGCAAATCATTCTGCAGGAAAGCTGCAATCACTACTGGGATCTTGGTGAATACACTCAGTTGCCATCACTCAACCAAATGGTAGAAATGACAAGGATGTTGGAGCCTGCTATTTTCTATCGATTCCCCGATTCCCTTTGTGTAACCATGCATTTTTAACATCAAACAAAGCAAACTAGTGTTCCTTCTTCACAATATGATGGAGGGTAACCACTTTTGAAAAGTTTTCCAGAAAAAGGAGGGCAGGACATAAAGAGATTTTCCCATGAAAGTCCACATCGTTAAAATCACTATGTTCAGTGTCAAGAGGGATGTTTCCCCCTAAGAGCACAGCGTGACTAGGTTCTTATAAACAATCAGAGTGGAGGATGACCAGAGGAAATAGCTTCTCTGTATCTACCCTATCAAATCCCTTTATCATCTTAAACACTTCAATCAAATCACCCCTCAACCTTCTAAACTCAAGGGAATAAAATCTAAGTTTATGCAGCTTTTCCTCGTAACTAACATCAACAACAAAATTATATTTATAGAGCGCCTTTCACGTCGGGAGGACATCCCAAAGTACTGCAAATCTCCCAAAACTTAACCCTTTTAGGCCTGGTAACATCCCAGTGAGCCTGCGCTGCACCCCTCCAGGGCCAATATATCTTTCCTGAGATGTGGTGCCCAAAACTGAACGCACTCTCCAGATGGGGTCTGACTAACGCTCTATACAACTGAAGCTTCATTTCTTCCCCTTTGTATTCCAGGCCTCGAGATAAAAGCCAACATTCCATTCACCTTTTTGATTACTTTTTGCACGTGGGAACTAGTTTTTAGTGATTTGTGGATATGGCCACCTTTTGCTCCTCCACAGTTCTTAGTCTCTCTTCATAAAGAAAATATTCTGCTTCATCTTTTTTTCAATCCATAGTGGATGAGCTTGCACTTCCCTACATTGAACTTCCCAACACAACAGCCAGACCAAAGATATGACAGGTTTCATCAACTGAGAAAAAAATTATTTTAACCTTTAAATTGTGAGCACTAAACATTCCCTGTACAACCACAAGTTTCTTAAAGGGACAGTAATCCCAGGTATTTTTCCACCTAGGATGATGGCAACATTTTTCTTGTATTTGAGGACTGAACAAGCAGAAAGAATAATTTCTCAGAGGAAATTATGTATGAATTTCTCTAATTTCACTGTTGATTTCTTAAATGCTTTTTTTTGCATTTAGGTTAACCGAGTGGACAATTCTCCAGCTCACCCAACATCAACTTTGTACATCCACAGAGCCTTGAAGAGTGTAGGCTCCATACTTGGTGAATACTTTAGATATCTCTTTGAATGTCAGGGAATGTTTACTGATCACAATTTGAAGGTTAAAATAAATATTTTTTCAGTCGTCAAATCCTGTCGTTTTTTTGGTCCAGCTGTTATTTCCTAAGATTCAAACAGTTTGGATTCCTCCAGGGAAGGAAATAATTAGTTGGAGACCTACTGGTATTTTGCTGGATTTCTGCCCACTTAGCAGTTTGTTCCCTTCACAGATATTTCATTCTTTGTTTTAGTACTGCTACCTTGGAATGCAATTGTTCCCTTGATCTTCCAATACAGATCCCTGGATCAGAAGATCAAAAGAATAACTGGAATTAACAAGCTCCCTTGACGGTCTAGTGGGTAAAGGCAGTGCCCAGTGAGCACTAGGCCATACAGGCGAGAACGTTAGGCTTGAATTCCAGTCTGTGCTGAGTTAGCTAATCTCAGCCGACACAGCAGTTGATACGCAAAAAAAACTTCAACATATCCGGTTTAAGGAGAGAAAGAAAAAAAAATCTGGAACACTTCCTTCTTCAAATTACTACCCAGAGACCCCCTACCTATGCCACCTATACCTATGCTACCTTAAAAACTGCCACCATCATGCCCACCCTGAAAAAACCCTCCCTTGATGCGTTGCAGCTATCAAGCTACCGGCCCATCTCCAACCTCCCCTTTCTCTCCAAGGTCCTGGAAAGAGTTGTCGCCTCCCAACTGCGCTCTTTCCTTTCCACCCATTCACTTTTCGAACCCCTTCAGTCAGGTTTCCGTGCTGCCCATAGCACAGAAACTGCCCTGGTCAAGGTCACCAATGATATCCTGACCATCTGTGACCAGGGCTCCCTCTGCCTCCTCGTCCTCCTCGACCTATCGGCAGCATTCGATACGGTCGACCACGCTATCCTACTCCACCGCTTGTCCTCCCACCTCAACCTTCAAGGCACTGTCCTTGAGTGGTTTAGGTCGTACCTTTCTCACCGTCTTCACTTTGTCTCGACGAATGGCTTCTCCTCCACCCCCGTACTGTCTCATGTGGTGTCCCTCAGGGCTCTGTCCTCGGTCCCCTCCTCTTCACCCTCTATATGCTCCCCCTTGGTGACATCATCCGCAGACATGGAGTTAACTTCCACATGTATGCGGATGACACCCAACTCTACCTTTCCTCCTCTACTCTCAACTCCACGACCACCGATGTCCTGACAGCCTGCCTGTCCGACATCGAGTCCTGGACGAGAGACAACTTTCTTCAGCTCAACGTGCGAAAAACCGAGGCCCTCCTGATTGGCTCACGTCAGCGCCTCCGCACCTCAGGCGCTGACACCATCAGCATCCAAGGCTGCACTCTCCACCTCTCAAAGCCAGTCAGGAACCTCGGCGTTTTGTTCGACCCTGAGCTGTCCTTTCTCCCTCACATCCGCACCACAACTGGCACCGCCTTCCATCACCTCCGGAACATCGCCAGACTACGGCATTACCTCACCCCTCACGCTGCTGAAACCCTGGTTCACGCCTTTGTCACCTCAAGGCTGGACTATGGGAACTCTCTCCTCGCCGGCCTTCCCGCCACCTCCCTCCACAAGCTGCAGGTCATTCAGAACTCTGCAGCTCGTGTACTGTCCCGCACCAGGCTTCGGGACCACATCACTCCCACCCTCGCTCGCCTCCACTGGCTCCCCATCCCCCAGAGGATTGATTTCAAGATCCTCATCCTCACCTACAAGGCCATTCACGGCCTTGCTCCCTCCTACCTCTCCAACCTACTATCCCCCTACCTACCTGCCCGTACCCTCCGTTCCTCCGGCTCCGGTCTGCTCCACGTCCCCCGCCCCAATCGCCCTACCATCGGTGGTCGGGCCTTCAGCCTCTCAGCCCCGAGGCTCTGGAACTCTATCCCCCAGTGCCTTCGCCGCTTCCTCCCTCTCCTCCTTCAAGGCCGGTCTCAAAACCTTTCTCTTTGACCGAGCCTTCAGCTCCCCTCTCGACTCTCTTCCCCTTCCTCGCTCCCTCCCTTCACTCCCCTCACCCTGACCATTTCCCCCGTCCTCGCTCCCTCCCTTCCCTCCCCTCACCCTGACCATTTCCCCCCTGCTCGGGTCATGACCCAACTGTGCAGCGCCTTGGGACGTCCTCCTGACGTGAAAGGCGCTTTATAAATGGAATCTTGTTGTTGTTGTTGTTGTTGAAAGGCTTGTGAGTAGATGTTATTTGAGGACATGAATGGGCTCAGCTGTAATGCCAACACTGTTGGATAGCCTGCCTCTACACCCTATCAAGGTTCAAATATTAATAATAGACAACAAAAATCAGAAGTCGCTGGGACACTCAGCAGGTCAGGCAGCATCTATGGAGAAAGGAAAGTGAGTAAACGTTTCGGGTCCACGATCCTTTGTCAGAACTGGGGCATGTAGGGAGAAAGTATGTAAGATCTACATTGAGATTCCACCATATTACAGCAACTTCCATTTATACAGCATCTTTCTCTTAAGAGAACATATGGAAATGCTTTGGAGACCATGTGGTTCCACCAAGCAAGGAGGGAAGCAGAAGTGGATATGAGGATGTTGACTGAAAGCACGGTCAAAAAAATGGGTTTGGGGAAAATTTTGAAATGAGGAAAACAAGGCAAAGGAACTGAGGAACTAATCGTAAACAAGTTTACTGTTTCACTGTCAGCATGATTTATAGTAACAGACAACCAAACTCAAATTTGGTAACATGGGAATAACGCTAAAGGTCAAAGATAGGGCTCTTGATATAGGACAACACTTGCTGAATATCTGCAACACTTTGGTGCTTAAAGCTTTTTGGCAGCTTCAGCTGTGCATGTCAGAGTAATTGTTTTTCCACTGAAGACGGGTGCCGAATTCCTTTACCACTGCACTTAAAATACCTTCACAGCACTCTACTTCTCCAGTTAGGAGAACCATACCCATCACACCTAAGGTTTGCAGTGTTGAGGTCATGGCTAACTCAGAGTCAGCCTTACATTATTGATCATCTAACAGTTCACCACCATAAATGTGAATTGAGTTAGATCCTACTTACCCCCACCCACCTGAGAAGGATCACTTAAACATAGTTTTCATTTTATTGACCCCAAAAAGGCAAATTTTTCAGAATTGAAACCTAAAAACTTTCAATTCCAAATCCAGCGCTCAATTGCTTAAACAACCCAACATATATTCTAGGCAATCCTTTCATTCTATGGGTTCCAGTAATATTCAGTTACTGTCATGTAAATATGTGGTAAACACTGATAAGTTATGTATTCAATTCACATTTATCATATCTGCATTTATCTGCAGAAATATAAGACACAAAACACTCTGAGCTTTCAATGCACGAGTCTGTTTAGGGTTGACAATCGAAAACAAAAGTGTGAAGCTTACCCATTCGTCCATCCTGGGGTGGACTGATTAATGATAGTCTTGTAGGACCCACAGACATCTCACACTGTACACAAGGCAAAAATATCAGTAAGCAAAGGAATTGCACAGAAAACAATTATAATCTATTAGATTAGCACTATGAATCCTTAATAGACATCAATAAATAAAGATCCGAATATGCACTGACATCAGGCGGTCAGCTCAGATAAAAGTTAGAACTCTTTGACTTCCAGACTTTCAAAGGTCACTTTACTTTAAACATGTTATCCTTCCACCCTTCTTGAATGCATCCAGTCAAATACATCGATACCGAGACTCCTCATGAGTATTATAGATACAATTTAGATTCATGATGAAATTTACTACTATAGTATCTATGAACAATATTCAAGCAACTGCATGGTGAATCTTAGCAGCCATCAGAGCTATCTGGAACCCAACTTGATAAGTGCTGCTGATCTCTCTGTGGTGCCGGTACCACAAACAAACCAAAAGCAGCCAAACAGAATGCAGAGGATACAATGAAAGTAGTTAAGCCATTTCATGCTGACCGGTCACCATGGCAATGATGGCAGTATTTTATAGTACATCACAAACTACACCTGGCAGTCTGTCATTTGGGGCTAAAAGAACATTAATAAAAATTATGTTTGTATGAAAGTTTAAAACTGAACATACATATTGTATGAATAGAATACTTTGTAAAAATACTGTATTTAATTCAATTGTTTTTGATATTGTATAAAGACTTGAAGGAGAATGGGGGTAAGGCAGGACAGTGTGATAGAATGAACACCTTGCTCTGAGAGCCAATGGGCTGAAAATGTCTATGATTCTTTAAATTCTTATTTTACTGAAAAAGAAGCAGAAAAATCATCTTGTTATTTGATTGCTATAGTTTATCATCCTCGTAAATTTGTAGATTAAATACATTTTACAACTTCCTTTGTGGGATCGTTTTTAGAAAACCGTCAATAACTCGCTGGAGCTTTGAAACTCATCTGAGAACCCCCATCGCCTCATTATGCACCATCATCAGTTTACCTTAGCAGTTTAAACATAATCACTACCTTGTGCCTGGATAGGTTGGTCAGCTCACAAATGGAATACATTTTACATTCACTGCATTATCAATGCATCTTTTAGTCATACCCTGAAAGTGGTGAGAGATGCCAACAATTTGAAATAGCAATACTCTCTGATTATATTTAAATGTTGGGTGGAAGGCAATTGGGACTTTGCATTCACTGGTAAACACTGTTAATTAAACATTATTTCCATTGTTACTTTCGTATATTATCAGGTTTCAGGTAGCCGAAACATGTTTATGAAATGTTATTCAGTAGATATATCAGGTTATTGTTTATGGTACAATACTACTGTATTTAATACTCTTCTGGGTGTCCCTTCAAAGACATAAAAGCCATAGAGAGGGTACAAAAGAAGATTCACTAGAATAGCATTAAGGTTGAGAGGGAATATAGAGAAACTGGGTCTGGTTTCACTAGGGCAGAAAAGGGAACTTAATAGAGGTGTTCATAAATTCAAAATTATGAGGGATTCTGATAAGGTAATTGGTCAGAGTCTATTCCCACCGGTAAACAGAGGGCATGAATTTAAGATCATTACCCAATAGGGAAAGGTTAGAATTTTAAAAATGAGTTTATTAGGACATGGAATACTGTACCAAAAACAGTGGTTGAAGCAGAATCTACAATAACCATTAAAAGGGAATTAGCAAAACATTCTGAAAAGGAAAAAGATAAAGGGTGTGAGGAAAAAGCAGGGGAACAGAACTGAAGAGAAGGCTCTCACTAAAAGCCGCCCGAAGCATGACGGGGCTGAACAGCCATTTTTCTTTACTGAAAATTCTATGATTTATCCCAAACTTCTGTAATTTTCAGTGATAGGCAAACCTACCTTTTCTGATGGACTCGGTCTTGGGTCAACCTCCATATTGTGCGACCTACTTGGAAGTAGTTTATGCAAATCAAATGACCTTTACTGATGCAATTTAGGCATTTAAGACGTTATAAATCCAATCTATTAATTCTAGCCTAATGCCGTTAATGTACAAGGTTTATACCTTAGGAATGAGGGTTTTTTTTTAGCATAAAGGCCACACTTTCTATTAAAAACAATCTTCCAAATCTTCCTCCATTTAACTCATTTGCTAATGGCATAATTAAGACCTTTCTAATGTGGGGCATCTTTCAGTTGCTAAAGGATATGGCTAAAGAGTAAGGCAATGGGATTAAAAGAGTTACTAAATTCTAATAAATTTGTGAAACAGGTTCAATGAGCTGAATGGTCTCCTGTTCCTATTTTCTATGTTTGGTTCTTCATTAACAATGAAAATCTGTACTGAGTCCAGCAGACTATTTGTGGATCTTTTTAGTTTCCAAACCAAGCTTGTGTCGTGTTACAGTTTCTTCACGAATGAGATGCCAAAGCATCTCAGAAACCGTAATATAAACAGACTTGATAAAATATTGTATGTAAGGAAAATGTGGAGGCACTGACACTTTAAAATGATCATTATGCAATGTAGAAAGAAAATATAAGCGGAGTCTCCTTGGAGCTGAATTCTAAGGTGACGTGCTTGGTGACGGAATGTCGGAATCGAGGCAGCCCTCTGTGGCGGTCTTGGTAGTCCGGTTCCTGAGCCAGACAGGTCTGCAGTATTCCAGGGCACAGCTAATGACAGCACAGCCAACCGAGCTCATTGGCAGGACCTGGAAGGCCAGACCAGTCACTGGGGCACAGTCACAGTCATCTCACTCAGCTCCTGTTAACCCTGCAAGTCAAAGCCTTAATAGAGTAGGGTGGCCCTAACTGAACAAGCAGCAGGAAAGCTTGCCAGGCAGCGATATCAATGGCAAACTATGTGGTTTTAGCCGGTTAGACTCCAGCAGTACCCCAACACACACTCTGAGATCCCCAAGCCTTGGCACTTGCCAACCTGTGCCTAATACTTTCCGGAATTAGGTAAGTAGGATGCGTCCCTCCAAGGAAATAGTGCACATTTCATTCCAGCAATCTATATCTGGGATTTCCATGTGTAGGTGGGATGCATCTGTTTTGGATACTCTTAAGCATTGTGATGGATTTGCGCATACGTCAGATCATTTTTGGCTGACCAAAAAATAGACATAAAATAAAATAGCTCTCAGTTTCACAGTATACATCAGAACCGAAACTGCAAGAACACATATTAAACAAATAGTAAAAGGCCAGAAGAATTTCCTATCTTTCTGCTGAACTGCAAGATTGTCTTATATAATTTCCTATATAAACTCCTGTTATATCTCTTAAGTGCAACATTTGAGAAAAATCAGAAGCATATTTTTGAATGCAACACATATTTACATACATTTCACCTGAGGATGGCCTGGAGTATGGAACTGCAGTATACATTGCTGACTTCGTTAAAGGTGCTACAGGGAAAGAAAACGTCTCAAGTCAATTTCTGAAGAAGACAGATGTACAGTTCATTTTCAAAATGACGTACACATTTTACAGCAAGAAGAATGGGGAAACCTATCTTAAAAAAAATTCAAAAATGATCAATTATTAAAAGGAAAACTAAATACAGGGAACAACTCAAATAATAGCAGCCAACATTTACAGGTGCAATTTGCTTTGTTAATCCTACAGTTCCAAGTTTACTTTCTCTAACCTGTTAAGCAAAAAAAACATTTAAAATGAAACCAATTCAAGAGAACTTAACAGAATTAAAGACCAATATTGCAATATACTACACAATATTACTGGACAATGAGAGTACATATGAGATTTGGATCTATTAAGCAACATGTGTAAGATGGCCTATATGCCAAGGAAATAAATGTATGTGCAAACCCTGGATTGTCCTGTGCTTTGAGACGTTTTCCCGACGTGAAAGGTGCTATAAATGTAAATTTGTTTTATTTAGATCATCACACAAAAACAAAAGAGCAGGTTTATGAGAATTGTTTTTCTTACATACTGTGTAAGACTATCAGAAATAGTGGTTGAAGCAGAATCCACAATTGTTCTTAAAAGTGCTTTGAGAAAAAAAACGGCATTGGCTATATTTTTCATTAATTTTCATTGGTTATGGGTGGCATTTCACAACAGTAACAAGAATGACAACTTAACCAAAACAAGGTATTTTGATGTGGTACATTGGCTGAGGGACTCATATGGATCATCAAATAAATAAAATCTAAAAAGAACAGCAAGTTGTTGTAGTACCAAATTGTAGCCTTTTGCAGCCGAGTACTACATTAATAAGTACTTCATAACATTTAATGTCAAAGTTATTTACAGAACTGAACAGCAAGTGGATGTAATGGTATGTAAGACAAAGTGGAAAAATAAGCACAAATGAGCGAAAGCAAACATAAATAGCAAGTTCACAGGACTGGTCTGCATTAACAAGGTCTATCCAATCTCATCCCTCCACTACACCCACCCTACATCCTCCCTAGCTTGTCTAATCGTTGTTCACTGCTTATTCCTCTAACACTGGGGATCATCCTCGTTGCTCTCCTCTGTCCTGCTTCTTGGTCATGGGCAGCCCCTCTGTGTCGTACTGACTAGAACTATATCGAGCATTCGAGGTGCATCCTGACCAGACCACTGTATAGCCTAAATATATCTGGGGAATCTAAACTCAACTGATTTAGCATTATAGCCCAGCATCCTGTTTGCCTTGTTATTGCTGTTCCTCCAGTCAGGAACTGTTTCAACATGTTTCATTAAGCACCTAGTATTATTTCATGGGTTTTTGTAAAGCTTATATCATGCAGATATATTAAAATGAAAGAATAACAAGTCAATCAAATCTACTCCCAGTTTAATCCTGCAAATACACACACTATACTTTACAGAAACACTCGAGCACCTTGAATGGCTTCAGCATATTAAGGCGACGTATCAAATGCAAAGATTATTGTAATTACATCCACTAAAAATATACAATTATGCATTTCTGGTATTGAATATTTAAAGCACTACAGTGAAGAATAATTTATTGGTTAACATTATTTTCCGAGAATGCTTAAAAACGCATGTTTTTTTAAAAAATCTGCAGAAATACAAGGACAATCCTCAGAGTCAATTCTCAAGAGTTAAATAAGAAAATGATGCACCTTTTACTTACATTGAACAAATTCCCTTAAGGAAGTTGAAGTAGATAATCGTGCTGTCTGTTGCCTGATATTAATAAGAAAAGTAAAATTATTTTCAATTTTTAATCAGATTTTCACTCATGAATTGCGAGTGTTATCAAGAGCATTCAAAGGACTTTCTTAATGTTACTAAATTTCAAGAGTTCTGCACATAGAGCATCTGAATGGAATTGGTGTTTGAAGCCAAGTTAATGAAAATTTTTGTGCTTAAAAGAAATGTCAGCCTTGGCTAAGCGGGTAGCATGCTCGCCTCTGACTCAGAGGATTTTGGGATCAAGGCCCACATCAGGACTTTGAGCTCATAATCTTGGTTGACTGGCTGGAGGAGCACTGCATTGTTAGATGTGCAGTCCTTCAGGTGAGATGTTAAACCGAGGTTCAGATGGTCTTTAAAAATCCCAAGGCCCTCTTCAAATAGTAGAGGGAGTTTCTCCTGGTGTCCTGGTTAATAACGCCCCAGGCCAAATTGGTCATTCACAATGTGACCAATGGAATATTGCTGTGAGCAAAATTGATCTACACAATACTTTGACACATTATGTCAACAAGAATTATTTTATTATTAGTCCATTTGTGGACAACTCCTTTGCTGAAAGATCCGAAGATAACTTTAGAAGCAAATCCATGGTCTTCTATTCTTTGTGGCTGCCAGATGCTAATCTGCCTGAGGCTTTGTACCTGCACTAATCCCTTTATCTAAAGAGCATATTTGCACTCTCTGTTAATCCAAGCATTAGTCCAGACAAGGACTGATAAATATGAGGTATTGGCAACCACAAAGATAATCATTGCTTTCAGCCTTGTTTCCGAGTTGGGTTTTCACTGCACCCAACAAGTAGAAACCTATAGCTTCAAATTGAAGGCCCTTCTGCTATAATTGGTGCTGCCTCAACCTTCAATTTAAACCTGAAAATATTTTTTTTTTCTCAGACAGATTAACAAGACTTCACTAGCAAGACTGTCCTGCGCTCAAGGAAAGCAGCAAGTGATTTGTGGAGTTCAATAAACCTTACCTTTGATGGTGCAAAGAATTTTCTAGTTGTGCAATGTAGTTCTGTTTTTCTACAAGTTCTCTGTAAAATGAACAAACAACACCTTTTTGAACCATGAATTTTGATCCCATAACAATTTGATAGCCAAAGGTTAAGTTTTGTGCTTGGTTTAGTATCAGTGATCTGTAGAATCAGAATTGTAATAATACAGCGCCTTATCACATCATTGAGACGTCTTAAAACGCTTGTAAACTGTAAAGTGGATTGACTGCACACTTTGCTGTGCGCAATTGGCTGCCGCATTTTTCCCGCAGTGTCCCACAAACAGTTATTGATGGAGCAACCAATTTTTTTTGAGGAATTATTACCCCCGGAAAGCAATTTACCAATCAACTAACAAGGTTCCTATTTATCGGCTTCAAAAACAGGTGTTTGGAGAAAGGAAACTTGTTTAAGGTTTCACCCCACCCAGGAATTTAACCCAGGTCCTTTCACTTGCGAGGCAAATGCGCTAACTACTACACTACAGTACTCCATTGTGTAATGGTTAGCAATTCAGTCCACTGTGTCTCTCCTAGCTTTCTGAAACAGCAATTAATTTAGTTGCACGCCTCTGGCCTTTCCCCATACATTTTACAAGTTATTTCAAATAGTTGTCTAACTCCCTTTTAGAAAAGGTACAGGCCAACCTTGTATAGAACAGGGTGGTTAAAGACTCCATTAACTCAGACCTCCATATTATAATGGGCATGCCAAAAGAAAAATAGCTGCCTTTGCATCTGGGTCATCAGATCGTCACTGACATCACTTCCGGTGTGTTGCATCACTTATGATATCAATTCCTGTGCACAGCGAGAAAGAGTCGCTGATGTCACTTCTTGAGCATAGTTATTTTGTTAGTGACCTGACCTTAACCTTGCGCACTCTATTTAAGAATTTACCAATATATACATGATTATAATAATAGTCCTTTGCATTTGATACAGCGCCTTATCAGACGTCTCAAAGCGCTCCACAGAATATACCATAAAATGAATTGAGTGTATACTTTGTGGGTGAAACCTGGTAGCCAATTACACTTCCACAAACATTCGTGGATTGAATAGCCAATTTTTTTTTAAGGAAGTATTACCCCCGAAAAGCAATCCGTAATCTGCTAACAATCAGGTTCTTACTTACTGCTAGGTAAACAGAGGCATGTGGAGTAAGGAAACTTGCCCAACGTTTCTCTCTACCCTGTGGGAATTGAACCCATGTCTCTCGCTTGCGAGGCGAGTGCTCTAACCACTAAGCTACAGGATTCCTGTATACATAGATGTGGAAAATACTATTCAAGCCAAGCAATATTATTCTCATTTACAAATGAGTGGCTACCTTGGTGTTGTCTGCTTCAACTGATGTTCAATGATAGCATTCGATATAATGCTCTCAAGTATTTTCCCCCTTACAGTTTCTACAGTTCTAACGTTCTACAGTTTCTTTATTCTCAAACATTCATCAGTCACTTTACATTATATTCTGTGATGCACTTTGAGTCGTCTAACGACGTGATAAGGCACTAACTCAAATGTAAGTGTTATTATTATATTATTATTTTCTTCCCTTTAAACTCTTTCAGCCCTATTCACTATCTCCCTAGAGTATGTCCACGTTGCCATGTTGGAGATAGAGGGGTCTTCTTGGATCTCCAGGGTCTCCAAGGAGGGAGTGCACATTGCATTCCAATGCACAGGGGTTTCCATGCATAGTTGGGCTGCATGGAACTCAGTTTGGTTTGGATACTCTTTAGCATGGTGATGGGTTTCCACCGTGTACACGAGGAACGTGCTAAAGATGCTAAAGATGAACCATGCTAAAGAGAGAAAAAATTACTATGTCCACGCAGTGTTCTTAATCACGTACAAAACCCCAAAAGATTTCAGCTGCAGAATCTACGACAAGGAATCTCCTACCTCTGCATTTGTTCTTTTCTTTCTGTAATTTGCTGTACATGTGCTTCTAACGTTGCATGCTAAAATTTTAAAAGAAATATTATCAATCATATTGCCTATGAACTAAAAGTACAAATCATATTATACTATCATTGTGATCTATCATCTTGCATGGCAAATAAAGAACAGTTGGGTACAAAGCATTAGATTATAAAAATAATTTGATATAGTGTCTAATCACGTCTTCGAGATGCTTCAAAGCGCTTTACAGAATATACTGTAAAGTGAACTGATTATTTATTTTGTGAGCGAAACTTGGCAGCTAATTGAACACAGCAGTGTCCCACAAATAGTTGTGGATTGAGTGACCAAATCATTATTATTTATTTATTTTCAAAGGGATTATTACCCCGGAAAGAGATTCGCCAATTGAGTTCCTAAATACTGCTGGGTAAACAGAGGTGTGTGGAGTAAGGAAACTTGCTAACGTTTCACCCTGCCTGGGAATCAAACTCAGATTTTCTTGTGAGGCAAGTGTTCTAACCAATACGTGGCAGGACTCCACCAGCACTCCAGATTGATCTGACGAGTCCCTCACCTTGTTTAATATTAAATTTGGCCACCTTGATCCATTAGATCAAGTGGTTTCATTACTCATAAACTTCTATCTTATATCTTCCACCTCGCACTCTCTTTATCCAGATTTAAATCTCACTTTAAAACCTACCTCTGTAACCACACCTAAAAAGTAGATGTGACCTTGGTTTAATATCTCACCCAAGGACAATATAACGCTCCCCATTCACCCAGAACCATGGGCTCAACCCACAACCTTCTGATCCAGAGAGGAAAAGTGCTACAACTGACACGGGCAAATACTGTATATACTGACATTCTACTTCAAGCAGAATGGATTAAAGTCTAAGAGAGACACATCTATGATTAATTATCTCAACTATAAGTCAGCATTTTTTTCTCCTAGTGTCCTGGCCCAACAATCCCTCAAATAAAATTGGTCTTCTCATGGCTGTTTGTGGGACATTGCGGTATGCAATTCGGCTGCCGAATTTGTCTACAAATACACAGTTCCTCCACTTCACTGTAAATCCTGTGAAGCAATGTGAAAGGTACTATATCAAATGTAAGGGTCATTATTATAATAATAGTCCTTGCATTTGATATAGTGCTTTTCACGTCTTCTTGACGTCTCAAAGCGCTTCACAGAATTACTGTAAAGTGAATTGATTGTATATTTGTGGGCAAAACGCGGCACAGCAGTGTCCCACGAACAATCGTGGATTGAAGTGACCAATTTTTTTTAGGGATTATTATCAGGGGTGTGGAGTAAGGAAACTTGCCCAAGGTTTCACCCTGCCGGGAATCAAACCCAGGTCTCTCGCTTGTGAGGCGAGTGCTCTATCTTAGGCTCCTATTCTGAATACAGAACCTACTGTGTGAAATCACTGATTAGTTAAGTTTAAAGTTAATGCACTAGTACTCTCTAATATAAAGCCAGCAATGCCTGGGCCAATAGCATGGGCCAATAGAAAAGTGCGGATATATTTGCCTCAAATTGTGGGGTAATTGCAGAGAATTTTGATAAATTTGCGAGGAATTGCGGAAAGTTGATTGGTGCTAATCAGAGATGCATTTTGTGAAACAACCCAGATTAAAACTATAGGCATATAATTCCTGAACATGCAGTTATGTTTAAAGTACTAAAAATATTAATTTGAATAGTACAGCACTTACCAAGAATTGGTCGCAGGAGCTTAGTTTAAGCCGGGCGAAGCCAATTTCCCACTGACGCCACTTCCACAATCCCAACACTCCCTACGCCGCGCATGCACGACCGGAGCCGCTCCAGCCACAGTAGCAGCATCGAGCAGACAGCGCGCAGAGGCCCAGTATAGGTTTGTGACGGAGGGGAGTGTTTATAGCGCGATTGTAGCGGAGAGCGTTTGTGGTGGATTCCACAGAGAAAGTGCATCCACACTTTTCTATTCGCCCAGCGCATTGCCCTGGTGATCTCCCTTTCTTTCTGTCTTTGTCTATCTGTCTTTTGTCTATCAATGATTGATCTTTATTCCCTGTTTCTACTGTTATAACAAGAAAGGCTTGCATTTTATAGCACCTTATTGTGTCGCTTTACAGTAATTGCTGTCATGACTAGCACCTTTTTTGTATGAAAACATGACATTTATTTTACACAAGTGAAGTCCCTCAAACCACAGGAGATGAATGTTCAATTTATCTGTGGCGATTAATTTGCAGAGATTAATATTGATGGAAATTCAAAGACCTTATTTACTTACGTTTTGTTTTTCACATGCACGCAAATGTCTTTTGTGTTTCTCTTGGAATTCCATAATCTAGAAATAACACGGAAGGCAGGGTGACTACAGAACCAATTATATGCATTCACAATAAGTCAGAAATGCTTGTTCAATAACATATGAAAAAAATATTACCTGTGTAAATTCGTTTATGTATCGCTCACAAACTTTCTCTGAGTCTGTAAAAAGTGCCTGAAGATCAGGATCCATCTATACAAAAAAAAACTAAACGTGTATTATTTAGCAGGAAAGCCATTCTGAATGAATCCCTACCAAGCCTTAAGAACATTCCTTGTAAATGTAATATATAGTCTACAGGCATAGACAGCAAAAAAGGTGAGACAGTTAGGTCAAGTCATTCAAGAAATCAACGTACACTGCATAAAATGCTCCTTACATTGCACCAACTGGTGCGGAACAAACAACATTTCAGCAGCAAGTGCAGCTGGGAGTTTATGCTATCCACTCAGATCACTAAGTAGTGGGACAAGGGAGTATGTAACCTGAAATATGCATGGAATGCTGCTTACCAGCGACCAGCTGTTGACATCTACAAAAGCTGTCCAGACAGACAGTCTTTTTCTATTTGAGACAACTGAAATGCTATTTGGTGCGCAGATTTTTTTAAATAAAATCTTGAAACAAACAGTTGAAAAGCAGGCTTAGAAAATGCATCTGACAATTGAGGCAGGAACGCTAGGAACGGAATGGTTAAAACACCATCACATGCTATCGCATGTTGTAAGGGTATGGTATCCCCAATCAATTCTGAAAGTAAGCCATTCAGACAATCACAAAGCTTTATTTTTAAATATTGAGTGAATTCACCACACACTGTAATAACTGTGAACATTATTGAATCCTTCTTGACGTTTGGGGGCTCCAAGAAAATAAAAGATCATTGTACATATTGGTTTGAAAAGACTCCTTTTTCCAAAGGCTGGAGTTGTACTATATGATGCTACATTTTCCTTTCCTAATGAAAAACAATATTTGTATGAAAGGAACAGTGGCCATTTCTACCTACAGACTGAAGAAAATAGCAGCCATTGCAGTATATATCACTGTTATCTCATTTATATGTAACAGGTGCAGCTCAGTCCCAAGATGGTACAGTACAACAACAACAAAATTACATTTATAGAGCGCCTTTCACGTCGGGAGGACGTCCCAAAGCGCTAAACAGTCAGGTGTTGGGGCCTGAGCATGGGGGAGGGGTGGTGTAGGGGTGAGGGAAGGCAGAGAGGTGGGAGGGAGACCAAAGGCACGGTCGAAGAGAAGGGTCTTGAGACCGGCCTTGAAGGAGTCAAGGGAGGAAGCGAGGTGAAGGGACTGTGGGAAGGAGTTCCAGAGTGTGGGGGGAGAGGCTGAAAGCCCGGCCACCGATGGTAGGGCGGGTCGGGCGGGAGACATGGAGCAGATCAGAGCCCGCTGAACGGAGAAAGCGGCCAGATTGATAGGGAGTCAGCAGGTCAGAGAGGTAGGAGGGGGCAGGGCCATAGATGCCCGCTCCCTACAGTATGCAGCCAAATAATGATCCAGTTCACTGCTTAGAGACAACCTTTTTCTACCTTAATGCAATATTCATCTCACCAGATAAGAAAATAACTTGATATATATCTTAATTATGTATCTGCATTTAAAAATATGTACCAAATATTTGCATAATTTACTTAAATAAAAGATATACACTCATGTCATAAAATGTAGTCAGATTTGTCACTGGTTTCTTACAACAATATTGCATTATAAGTGTTTTGGACCCGAGCTGCAGTTTGAGATTGGGGAGGGTGGAGGGCAGGGGGGGAAGCAGGGTGAGCGAAAGCACTGTGAAAGAGAAGGGTCTTGACATGGGTCTTGAAGGAGGCAAGGGAGGGGGCGAAGCGGAGGGACTGCGGGATGGAGTTCCAGAGGGTGGGGCCAGAGTGGCAGAAGTCCCGAATACCAATAATGGGGCGGGCAAGGCGAGGGACCTGAAGCAGGCTGGAGCCCGCTGAGCGGAGGGAGCGGGTAGGACGGTAGGGGGTTAGGAGGTTGCAGAGATAGGGGGGAGCAAAGCCACGGAGGCTTTAAAAGTGAGGACTAGGATCTTGAATGGTATCTTCTGTGTGATGGTAAGCCAGTGGAGTCGGGTGAGGATGGTGATAGAGTCACGGAACCTGGTGCGGGAGATGGCATGGGATGAAGAGTTAAACTTAAACTTCCCACTGATGTTTTAAAAGTCTGCAAGAAGTTCTACATATATATATATATACCTTGTCTGAGAGAAATAAGGTGCGGCAATCTGCTTTACAAACGCAGCATTTTTTCATACTTCCTAAAAGATAATCAAGCACAAGATCTAGAAAAACAGTGCACATATAGGAGACAAAAGTATTCAAAATGTATACAATATCTTTGTTGGCGTAGTGAAATATAGAATCATTTTTGAAAAAAATTGGGGGGGATATCTTTTTTGAGAAAATGCAAAATTCACAACTATTTTAAGGTGTTTTAAAAGGGAATGAAAGTCATGGGGAGTTACTACACCGAGACTCCAGCAGTACCTCAATATACACTCTGAGGTCCCCAAGCCTTGACTTTTGCCAACCTGCGCCTAATACTTTCTGGAATTAGGTAAGCAGGATGCATCCCTCCAGGGAGAGAGTGTGGATTCCATTTTAACAATCTAACTCTGGGATTTCCATGTGTAGGTGGGATAATAATAATAATCCTTGCATCTGATTTAGCGCTTTATCACGTCTTCAAGAGGTCTCAAAGCGCTTCACAGAATATACTGTAAAGTGAATTGACTGTATACCTTGTGGGCGAAGCGTGGCAACCAACTGCGCACACAGTGTCCCACAAACAGTTGTGGACTGAAGTGATTTAAAATATTATTATTATTTTTCTTTGAAGGAATTATTACCTCTGGAAAAGCGATCCACCAATCAACTAACAACCAGGTTCCAACTTACTGCTAGGTTAACAGAGGCGTGTGGAGTAAGGACTTGCCCGACAGTTCGCCTTGTTGGGAATCGAACCTAGGTCTCTCGCTTGCGAGGCAAGTGCTCCAACCACTGAGTTACAAGGATGCATGGAACTCTCAGTTTGGTTTGGATACTTTTAAGCATGGCTGATGGGTTTCTGCACGTGTCAGACAGCAGCTGACCAAAACCAATAGAAGCAATAAAACGGTCATTAAGATACATACCTGTAGCGATGAACGTTTCTTTAATCCATGGGATCCGTCTTTTCAACTGTTAAGCACCTCAATGACATCCCCAAAAGGTTTAAGGAACACAGTTGTGCAGCAGTAGCTGCAGTGAGCTGCTTTGAGATAACCATTTTGGACTGTCTGGGAGTGAACCACCAGAAATAACTCTTATTCTTATACTCATTTTAGTGCCTTTCACATCAGGTGGACATCTCAAAATGCTTCACAGTATATACTGTAAAGTGTAGCAACTGTATTTTGTGGTTGAATTTGTGCACAGCAAAGCACGATGTCAGCGAGTATGGAACAATACTAATCTGGCCTCGGGGTGGTTGGCATTGAATTGACTCACACTGAGCTCGCCTTCAATAGACAATTTGCCAGATCCCGGTCATCCTTTTAGTAATGCAGCAGAGCAGTCAGCATGTGCCAGGGATTAAAAACATTTGAGAATTTATTGTTCTGTATTTCAAAAATACTGTATTTTTTTCTTCTAAATCTAAGAGAGCACTTTGAACAGAAAATATTCCCCATGAAACATCCCTTCCCCTTTAGCATGTCAAAAATTAGACAAGAGGCACTATAAATCAATGCATTTTACACAAAATGCCAACTCTAGCCAACAGAACCTATAAGTTGTTGTTGCATAGAGGTGCATCAATTAGATGCTTATGAAAACATAAGCTCACTGAGCAGCTTGGGAAGAGTTGCCTTGCCATATAAAAAGGCAATCTCGCAGAACAAAGCTCCTAGTGGGATGCAAGAAAAATATTCGATCATAGCAGGAAGCTTGGTGAGGACAAGATTGTGTATAACCTTCAGGATTGCAGACATTCAAGATGAGAACCTATTATCCTGAGACCTCTGCTGTCTGCTGATAGAGAGTATGTAAGTCTGTGCTTTTCAATCTGTTGAGGTAGGTGACATCTAGGAGATTGGCACTCCTTTCAAACAATAAGTCATCTTGTTTAAAATAAATATTGTATTAGTTCATTCCTACCTTTCTTGAGGCATGCTTCACAGACAACATGTCCACAATTAGTAAGTGCAAAACTGCAGCAATTTGGTCTGGGCTGCTGAAAACAGAAGTTACAAAATATCCTGGGAGCCATGTTATCCAGATAATCTGAACAAGAAAAACAATTCAAATGCAATGTTTGAATACTAATTTCACAAGGCAATTCTTAAGTCTTTCTGATCTCAAATCAATAGGGCTGTCAGTAAACAACAATAACAAATTAACATATATATTGCCTTTTATGTTTCATGTTGGGAGGACCATCCCAAAGTTCTTGATAGTCGTGGCTTGGCACCCGAGCTGATGCTGGGAGCTGAGGAGGGTGGGGAGAGGAAAGATGACCAATAGGTTGAAAGTGTGATAGGTGGGTTGAAAGTTCGACTGCCAACAGTGGGGCAAGTGGGTGCTGGGGGGGGGGAGTGTGATGCAATATGAAGCACGCCAGTCACTGAGCGAAGGGAGCAGTTGGGTTGGTACTATTTGAGGAGGGTGCAGAGGCAAAATAATATTGAAAAAAAATCACTGCCAAGAAGAAAACTAAACATCTGCAAACAGTAGTTGCTGAAGTTGCTAGCAACCAAAACTGCATTTATTTGGATTAGCGAGTCTCCTGAGTTGAGTCCCACTCCCAATCATTAATCCTCCCTCCCAGGATGACCTTTACCACTCCCGGATAGTTTTGCTCACAGACAGCCAGGTTTCTAGGGAAAAAGGCATCTCTCAATTTATCAGTATATATGAATGCACTCAAATTAAGTTTCCGGCAAACAACCACTTACCTAAAACACAAAAAGTTACTAGTAATTCCAGGGCAAAATTTTGGGCAAGTGTGATTTTTTTTAGCATATATGCTATATTTCTTGCAATTTTTAATATACTTTTGGTCAAGAGACAACACTAATCCTGTTATTAATGGTTAATTTGGTGACATTAATATCAGTTCAACAATTCTGCTGCAGTTCAACAATTCTACAGCTCATGCTTTGCGATGTCTCAATGTCACAATTAAGCAAGGCGGTATAACAAATGCAACGATTATTGTTATTATTATGATAGAAATTACAGCAGTGTCGAAGGAGACTGAATTCCATAATTAGTCAGTATCGTCATTATTATTGTAGAATGCGACAAGGATGGTTGAAGGCAAACTAGATGGACCTTGGTCTCTTTTCGTCTAGCAATTCCTGTGCTCCTATGATTAAACCGATGCTGGATTTAGTTGGTGGCTCCAGGAGAAAACAGACACTTAAGTGTTTCTTTGTGCAGCTGCTGCGTTTATGAATCAAAATAAGGTTCTGTCCCACAGATTCAGGAAAAACTGCTGGAATCTTCACCCGATTAGCTTCCACCTAAACAACAGTGGACCCAGAGGTCTGAATTTCAGGTATAAGAACATAAGAACATAAGAAATAGGAGGAGTAGGCCACTCGGGCCCTAAGTCTGCCCCGCCATTTAATAAGATCATGGCTGATCTTCTAACCTAATTCCATTTACCCGCCGGGTAAACATTTTACCCAGAAAATGTTAACAGCAGTGTTGCTTTTAACATTTTCTGCTACTGCTGTTTAGCGAGCGGGTTACGTGAGAGCTCCACAAGTTTCTCTGCATCCTAAACTGGTGGTTAACATTAAGGGTAACTGTAAAGGCTTTTGAAAGAGAAAAGAGAAAAAAAGGGGAGGGACAATTTAGGATTGAAGGGGGAAAACTTGTATTTGAGAGTGAAAGAATTGTTGCACTACTGACCACATGTGTGGCATTTTATGTGGTTGCTTGTATTTACGGATTTTTTATTCTCAAAACCCCTTATCAAGCATGGCAAAATTCACTTTTCAAATTGGGATCTTCAACATCCACGTGAATAGGCAGAGAATATCCGTTTTTCATCCGAAATCGGACATAGTTGACAATGCAGCACTTAACCACTGGCAGCAGAGCCCTCAGCCACTCTGCTCCCAACCACTGGAATTCCATCCCCCAATCACTCTGCCTCGCCCCCTCCTTAGCCTCCTTTAAGTCCCGCCTCAAGACCCTCCTCTTCGACCATGCCATTGGTCACCCCCTTCCCCTCCCCTCCCTTCTCCCCCCCTGACTCCAGCTCGGGTCAGAAATACTGTACACTGTCCAGCACCTTGGGATATCCTCCCAACGTGAAAGACGCTATACAAATGTAATCTTGTTGTTGCTGTTAACCAGCAAGCACTGAATGGATTATGAAATGGAATAACAGTCCTAAATGGAATAAGTCCTAAAGGACTCGCCTCGCCCCTCCCTTGCCTCCTTCAAGACCCATCTCAAGACCCTCCTCCGATCGTGCTTTCGATCACCCTGCTTCCTCTCTGCCCTCTACCTTCCCCTCCATCCGAATCCCGACCCCCAGCTCGGGTCCGAAACACTGAATGTACAGCGCCTTGGGACGTCCTCCCGACGCGAAAGGTGCTATACAAATGTAATGTTGTTGTTGTTGTTGAATCCACAATCTCTAACTCAGAGGTGAGAATGCTACAAACTGAGACAAGCAAACTCTTCACTCCTTCTGTAATTCCTTCTGTAACTCTTTCTGCATCCTCTGACTGTGCTGGTCTCTTTAATTTATTATCACCAACATATGTGGCAGTCTTACAATTATTATTGTAATTAAATATATTTATTTATTAATTAATTACAATAAATGTATGGAAAAGGCTCCCTAGGGAGATAGTGGAACCAGAAAGTGTTGATTCTTTCAAAAGCAAATTAGATAAGATTTATTTTAGGAAATAATATCTTGGGATACAGTATATAGTTTGGGACATGACATATGCATGTGAATGCCAGGATGATGGAAGGCATACTGGATGGACCTTGGTCTTCTTTCATCTAGCAATTCTTATGTTCTTACATTCTTATTGACAGTGCCTTTTTGTAACAATTATATAAAATGCAAGCAAAACACAAATGCAAACGCTCTTTTCCCACCTTCAAACGAAATAGCATGAAAGGTACAGAGCCGTTTACAGATTACACGGGACAAAGGAATTTAGCCAATTGGTGCTTCTTGACTTAGGAAACTTCTAAAGGTTGCTGAGCTTAAATAAGAAAATCATTAACTTCTGCAAACATGGGAAACAAATTAGTTTGACAAGTATATTTTAGCTGGTGTGGCTACTGATAAACTGACCATATCTAAAACCTTGAAAGAGTTTGTGCCTGCAGATGCGAGATTCTCATTCTCCTTCAGCCACAAGGGTTGCTCAACATCTCAAGGGCACAAAATTGTCAAGATAAATGGAATTATCTTAAACTAAAATGTTTTCTGAAACACATTACTTTAAAATCCATTTTTGTGTGAAACTGAATTATTTCAACAGTTACAAAATACTGTTTTTTTTAACAGTTGTGAGTTAAGTTCAAGTAACTCAAAAACAGAGCTCAACTTCTGAGAATTTTGTTTGCTATTAGTTTAACTTTAGTGTTCTTGGCAAATGTCGCAATATATCAGCCCTTAACAATGGAAGTTAATCAGTAATACCCAAATATTCTAAAGACTGTTGAAAAAGCACAGCTCTGTACTGAACAGGGGATACTGGATGCTTGGTAATGGAAGTGTGGAAGAAAATAAGAGTAACAGAAGAAACAGTAGAATTGTGAGTTTGAGAGGGACAAGGTTATCAGCAAAATGGGATAGGGGTGGAGAAGCTGGGAGAGAGATGAGGGCCGAGGGGCTATGCCGATAGGGGAGATAACAAAAGGAATGTGTGGGACTGAAGACTGTGGGAAGGGATGTGTGGTAAGGTCTGCATTATGGAAGAGATGGAAATTAATCTGTGCTGACTAATTAGTCACTGGCGCAAAAATAGGCTGGCTTGGGATATAAGATCACTTATTAGACCATATGTGATCCAACATATGATCTAAAACCTTTAATTTTTATTACCTTTTACAGTAATTCCTTTCCAAACATTATGCATTATATCGGCAAGGAAGACCAATAAACTTTTTTCTGAATAATACTTGCACTAAAAGAATTCCCAAACATACCTATTGAAATCTCCCTTAATACATAATAAAATCCATAATCATAGTGTGACTAACATTTGTCATTTTTTCTCAGCTTGTAGTTTTCAGACAAGTCACCAAAAGATCTCAAAGTAATAATAATAATAACCCTAATTCTTGCATTTGATATATCTTATATCCCAAACACCTCATCGTATTGGTGAGACGTCTCAAAGCATATCACAGAATATATTATAATTATAATATATTCACAGTGTCTCCGCTCAAGCTCTGTCGTCTATCAGTGACAGGCTCTGTAAGTAGTACACTCAGTCCAGTCTCTTGGTTTGCTTCAGTGTCCAGTACACGCATAATTATATAGAAAGCATGTGACCTGGGGAAGTGTACTGCGAAAGTTACTTTTGGAGTCTTACAGACCAGGTTTTCTGAGTTAAATCCTATGGAGTCCCCTCAACCTTCACCCCTCAACAAGCATTGTAGCTTAGTGGTTAGCACTCGTCTTACAAGCAAGAGGATCTCGGTTCAATTCCCAGGCAGAGTGAAACATTGGGCAAGAGTCCTTACTGACATGTCTGTTTGCTTAGCAGTAAGTAGGAACCCGGTTGTTAGTCGATTAGAAGGCCTGCTGTGTTTCGCCCACAAAATATACTGTCAATTCCCTTTAAAGTATACTCTGTGAAGCGCTTTGAGATGTCTGGAAGACACGAGCTAAGGCGCTATATCAAATGCAAGGATTAGTATATTGTAAAATGTTATACAATAAATAAGTGATAATAATATCATGGGATATCACGGCTCCCCCCCAGCCCCATAGTGAGGCTCCCCCCAGCCCTGCGGTGAGGCTCAGGCCTGTCCCGCGGCGAGGCTCAGGCCTGCCCCGCGGTGAGGCTCAGGCCTGCCCCGCGGTGAGGCTCCCCCCAGCCCCGCGGTGAGGCTCAGGCCTGCCCCGCGGTGAGGCTCAGGCCTCTCCCGCGGTGAGGCTCAGGCCTCTCCCGCGGTGAGGCTCAGGCCTCTCCCGCGGTGAGGCTCAGGCCTGCCCCGCGGTGAGGCTCAGGCCTGTCCCGCGGCGAGGCTCAGGCCTGTCCCGCGGCGAGGCTCAGGCCTGCCCCGCGGCGAGGCTCAGGCCTGCCCCGCGGCGAGGCTCAGGCCTGTCCCGCGGCGAGGCTCAGGCCTGCCCCGCGGTGAGGCTCCCCCCAGCCCCGCGGTGAGGCTCAGGCCTGCCCCGCGGTGAGGCTCAGGCCTCTCCCGCGGTGAGGCTCAGGCCTCTCCCACGGTGAGGCTCAGGCCTGCCCCGCGGTGAGGCTCAGGCCTGTCCCGCGGCGAGGCTCAGGCCTGTCCCGCGGCGAGGCTCAGGCTTGTCCCGCGGTGAGGCTCAGGCCTGCCCCGCGGTGAGGCTCAGGCCTGCCCCGCGGTGAGGCTCAGGCCTCTCCCGCGGTGAGGCTCAGGCTTGTCCCGCGGTGAGGCTCAGGCCTGTCCCGCGGCGAGGCTCAGGCCTGTCCCGCGGCGAGGCTCAGGCCTGTCCCGCGGCGAGGCTCAGGCCTGCCCCGCAGACAGGATGCCACCCAGAAGCCTCTGGAGTCAGACGTGCCAAAAGTAAAACAAACACATTGGCTTTTACAGCGGAAGCACACCCGAGCCGCGGGTACCTGGGGACCAGCTGCTCAGCGCCGGCTGTTCCCTTGGCGACGCCGCCCTCACACCTCCATCGATGCGGCTGCGCAGTGACGAGCGACTCACCACCAGACTCGCGCGGGGTGGAGCGAGGACCACGACTGCGCCTGCGCACATCCCAGGATCACGTGACCGTCCGCCACCGCCCCCCCCCCCCCCCCGTGGGGCGCCTGCGCAGTCTGGGTCGTGGGTGACAAACTGAGAGTGTTCGTCAACACAGACAGCGAGTTGCTATGTGCAGCCTCACAGCCACATGATGGTGTCAGGCCGGGCCTCAACAACAACAACAACAACAAATTGCATTTAAGCCCTATCTTGCCCAAGAGGCCCAATATAACTGCAAATTGTTATGTAGCTCATCTCAAGATGGTGGACAGTTAAGGGTTTGATCTTGAGTTGGGGGTCGAGGGGGTGGGAGAACGATGGAAAGAAAGCGCGGTCACATTGCAAGGTCTTGAGATGGGCTCTGAAGGAGGCAGGGGGTGAGGCAAGGCCCAGGGGCTCCGGGTGAAATTCCAGAGGGTGGGGGCCGCAGGGCTGAAGGCCTTGGAGCAGGCCATTCCCCGCCAAAGGGAGGGAATGGGAAGGTTGGTAAGGTGTGCGTAGATCGCAGGGGTTAGGGAGGAGCAAGACCGTGAAGGGCTTTGTAAGTGAGGATGCGGATTTTAAACTTGCAACAGCAATTTACTCTTACACACCAGTCCTTCACGTTTAAGAGCTGACCAGCATAGGCCAAACAGCCTCCTTCTGTGCTGCAAATATCTGGTCCTAACGTCTCAAAAACACTGGGAGAAACGACCATTGTTCAACTTCACTAGAAAATTATTTTGATATGCATGTGAGTCTGAAACCTTAAAATCAATTAAAAATAGTCAGCTATGAGAGCATGCATATGTGCAACTCCAGCTGATTTGGATATTCTTTAATCATGGTGATGGATTTCCACGTATGTCAGATATTCAACAGACCACCCAAAAAAATTCATTGAGGCAGCTGTAAAATCTGGGTGACAGACTGGTTCAGTTGGTTGCACTCTCCTCTGAGTCAGAAGATTGGGGGTTGAAGTCCCTCATCAGGACTTTTAGTTCATATAGTCTTTGCTGACACTCCAATGCAGTGCTCCCTCGTTAAAAAAATCTTTCTGACATTGACTGTCTGGCTAAAACATGGACAAATTATCATATTATTGCCGGTTGCAGAAACTTTTAAGCATCTATAGAGCCATATGAATCACCAGCTCTTCGATACATTCAGCCAGTGCACCCTAATGATGTAAACTCAGCAGTGAAACTCTAGAGGACTTTATTTAGGTGACTCACACCAAAACAGTCATTATTCATTTGTCAGAGTACTTCTAATATAAATTTGAAAAATCAAATCAAATTAGCACATAAACATAAATATTTTATTATTAATGATAGTAATCCTTGCATTTGACATAGAGCTTTATCACATTGTCAAACCATCTGAAAGCATTTCACGGATTTTACTGTAAAATGTGGTGACTTTTGTAGGTGAAAGCGGCAGCTGAGCAACATCCAGAAATAGCCATGAAGTGAATGAATAATTTCATGTGTATTAATCTATTCAGCCATTCTGAGTGGTAATTGTCTCAAGTTGTTAACCAACCATAATACACTTTGTCTTCTGAAAATAACCTGCTGAATGTCATATTATTCAATCATCATTTTTTATGTCATCTTTATAATGTCAAAGAATTCATTTCATTCTACATTGTGAAAGTGAATTGAATTGTATGATTTCTATCTGCCAATTGACAAAATGCAGTTATAGACAGCAGCTGGAAGGCCTTGTATTGCTCAACTGGAAAAAAGAACTATCAATAACCAATTGGTTTGGAAGCCAGCCAGCTGCACTTGGCACATTTATTTGTTTCTCAATTGAGAAAAAGCTGCTGCAATTACATAGGAAGATAGGAATTGTACAAGAGCAGAAAGACCATTTGATCCATATGGTTAGTTCAATTTTCTAAATACAGTTATTCTTATCTCTCATATCCCGTCTTCCATCCTCACCACTAACATACACCATCCAATTCCTTCACAGAATCACACTTGGGTCTAATTTGTGATAATAACAGTATTTTTGTATTTGACATAGCATGTTTCACGTCTGCAGGAAAAGAACTTAAAGAACTTCGCAGGATTTCCTTTAAAATACAGTGACTGTATTTTGTGGTCAATAAGTGATACTGTGTTTCAAAAGTGGATTTCTTGCACAGATTAGTTGCCACATTTGTCTATTTGACAACATTCACTTTATTAGTAATTAATTTTATTTTGTAAAGAGCTTTGAAACGTTTTATTCTATGTGAAAAGAGCTATAAGCTAATATTGGATTTTTATCAGCGTGATAGAGTTGGGTAACAGAAATATTAAGAGATTTGGCGAACAGTTGAGGAATTGTGATTAAAAGATCTGCCAAGATCTAATAAATTAGTGGAACACTCCCGATAGATTGAATGGACTCTTAATTGTAGTTAATTGGTATTTACAATTTGCATGTATTGGATGCATGTAATTTGCCCTCCAGTTTTTTTATGGACTCTGCAGACTAGCATTTGGGGTTTGACAGACAAAAATTCCCGATTCAATCTTCACAACCCAAGATTCACAAACTGGAAGTCCCCATTAAAGCAATAAACTCAGTTTGTGAATATAATGTAGCACAAATACCATAATAATAATAAAAAACTGCTCCTACAGCATGCATTATGTCAGACTAGCTTTTTGGCAATCAAGAAATCTTTCATGTGCTTCATTTGCCAGACTCCCACTGAAAGTAGGATAATGGTTTGAATGACGGCCCACCACAATACATTGTTGTTGGTGTCTTCACTGGTTTGGCGAAATTGTTCTTCACGTGTCTGTAAATCAGAAAGAAGATTCATGGTTTTGCTTCAATGATCCTGTGCACTGAAAATATGTTTCTAAGAACCACAGTGAATTCTGAATTCACTTTATTGTGATTGTAAGATTTTCACTAAAAGTCATAATTCTTCACTCATTTCAATTACAACACAATTCACTTCAATACGAGTGAAATTTATGTAAGAGTGAAATGTATGTAACGCTTTTCACGTTGGAAGGATAGGAGGATATCTCAAAGCACAGCTGTCTGGGCACCCGAGCTGGGGGGAGGTGGTATGCTGTGGCGTGGGGGGTGGGTGGGTGGTTGTTGAGAAGACAATCAAAGCTTATTCAAAGAACTAAGTCTAAAGACAGGCTTTACAAATTGTCTTCCCTCTTCCTGCATCATCCCCTGTTGCAATTATGCTCAACTTCCTGTCTCCTACTCAATCCTATTCTTAATAATAATAATAATAATAATAATAATAATAATAATAATAATAATAATAATAATAATAATAATAATGCTTGCATTTGATATAGCGCTTTTCACGTCGGGAGGATGTCCCAGGCTAGTCTGACATAAAGCTTCACAGAATATACTGAAAGCGCTTCACAGAATATACTGTAAAGTGAATTGACTGTATATTTGTGGGCGAATGCGGCAGCCAATTGCGCACAGCAATGTCCCGCAAACAATCGTAGATTGAAAATGACCAATTTATTATTGTTTTTAGTTTTTGGAGGGATTATTTCTTCCCTAGAACCTCAAGACAGTGGAAGTCCTTAGCTTCCCAGGGACTCTAAAGGGCAATTCTAAGGCAGACATTGATAGGAATTGTTTTGCACAGAGGGTTTAACACATGGAAAAGGTTATCAGGAAGAATGGTTGAGGCCAGGATGTTGGATTAATTTAAGAAACAGCTTGATGCTGTACAGGCTGAGATCAAAATGAGTTGAAGGCCTTCTTCATCTGCAGCTTTCATGTGATCTGGACTGCAGCAATTCCACTCTGCTTCACCATATACTGCCTTCAAATGAAACAATGCCTCTTTGCCACTTGGCATAAAGGCTTCCTCAGTCCTCATTGTTGAAAAATAAAACAGAGGCATCTTGATTCTGAAATTGCCTGAGAGAGAAGCCACCCTCAAAGCTGGAGGGGCCCATTCAGTCCCAAACCTACCATCAAGGTCAGATTTTTAATAAAATGTCCAAATTGTGCCTCTATCCTTGTCACATCGAACACCTCCTCCCTCCTCCAATCTCTCATGACACAGAAGGTGTAAAGGGTGCCATCTCTGGTCTCAACTACTCTATTCCTAACCCCTCAGGAATGGGAAATCTAAAACTAGCTGGCATTACGTCTGCTGGTACCTGCAAGCTTAAGAAACATGTATTTTAACAGTCAATAGTGACCAAGTGACAATAATTTCAACATCCCTGTAATGGTGATTATCAATGTCACAGGTCTATGAGCTGACGAGTTGATAGGATAGATGTTGATAGGCTATTCCCACTTGCTGATAGACCAAAATTACAGGGCATAAATATAATAATAATATAATAATAATAATAATCCTTGCATTTGATATAGCGCGTTTCACGACGGGAGGACGTCCCAAAGCGCTTCACAGAACACACTGTAAAGTGAATTGACTGTATATTTGCGGGCGAACGCGGCAGCCAATTGCGCACAGCAATGTCCCACAAACAGTCGTAGATTGAAAATGACCAATTTATTATTGTTTTTGGTTTTGGAGGGATTATTATTAGGCTCTGTGTGGAGTAAGGAAACTTGCCCAAGGTTTCGCCCTCTGCCTGGAATTGAACTCAGGTCTCTCACTTGCAAAGCGAGTGCTCTAACCACTGAGCTACAGGACTCCACAATATCCCAAATATTGACTCCAAAATATAAGAGCCAATTGCAGATCTAATAGGAAGTTTTGGAAGAAATTCTTCATTCATTGTGGTGAGAATATGGAACTCACTGCTGGAAGCTGTGGTTGAAGTAAAAAGCATCAATGTAGTTGAGGAAAATGAATAAATGAGAGAAAAGGGAATAGAGGGGTATAGGTGAGGGGAATAGGTGGAGTGTGGGGTGGGGAGTCACGAGCAAAATCAACACCAGCGCAGACTAGTTGAGCCAAACAGCTTGTTTCTATATTTATCACTCTATGTAACTCTATATGTACATTTACCAAAATGAGCCTCAGTGGCAGCATTTTGCACTCAAAGGAGTTCAAAAAGATGATGTCTTGTCGCTGTGGATCAATAGCAATGAGCAATTCTCTGGATTGCTGGATGTTTGAACAGATGTTTTTTTGTCACAACGGGGTCAAAACTGTGCAATTCCTAACCACATTCCTCTGTTCTTTAATTAGGGAATGGAATGTGTTTAGCAACACTGCAATTTTGACCCCTATCGCTTTTTTTTACACATAGAAACCCCAAAGTGCCTGAAATATGACAACTCTGTCTGTTCAGAAATTAAACCAAGACTAGCCTGACCCAGCTGCTGAAAGTGGTTCACAGTTGAGTTTGGCAACAGGTCCCAGCAGAAGCTAACACTGAAACCATTGGCCAGACATTCTGATTCCCTTATAAAATCAAGACTGCACTACAGGGACTTATAAATACTCTCGACTTTTGTGCTTAAATTCTCTGGCTCATTCAGCATGTTCATTGCGAAAAGACACTTAGATTTACTGATTCTGCTTGGTTTAACACTAACATCTTCACAGCACTGTAAAACTTTATATTTATCTCCCCACTTAAAGTCATTGCAGAAAGCAGATTGACCATGATGGTTAACCCCCCCACCCCCTCCACCACCAACACCCAACATAAATATCCTGCATCTGTAACATATTAAGCAATTGTTTACATTCTCCGCACACAAACATTTTGGATTCAGCTTGTTATTCACAGTAAACTCTTGCCAGGAAAAGAGCTGGCGGGGAATGTTTATAGAGATCTTTGTATATTGCCCCTTTAATTGTCTTCCTTGCTCTTTCTGAGGTGATGACTTATGGTCACCATCAGTCTTCCTAAGTACACCCTCTCCTCCCCCGATGGCCACTTTTTTAAATTGAGTGTCATTCAGCTCTTATCTACGAAGGCATATCACAGCACGTTATCCAAAGATCAGTTCCTCCCAATAGCTCAGTGGGAACAATGCACTGTTTGGTATGGTATGGAGCCATACACTCTATATACTCAAATCTAAGGAGACCCAAATGTAAGGCACAGGCAGATTTTAGAGAGCTTGAGAGGAAAAAAAGGGATCACTTTACTGTAATTCCAAGTGGCCACAGACACACCTGATTTTGGAGGTACTTGTCCACCTCCAAGTACCTCCAAAATCAGGTGTTCATTAGAATCGATGGCCACTTGGATTTGCAATAAAGTGTAGCATTTTCACCTCTGAGTATGAAGGTTGTCGCTTCAAACCCCATGTTGGGACTGACAGTATAGGCTGACAGTCCAGTGCCAGGCAGAGGCTGTGCTGCGCTGTTGGAGGCATCATCTTTTGGATGAGATGTTAAAGCAAGTTTTCAACTACATGTTCAGGTGGATGTTAAAGATTCCATAGCACTATTTGAAAAGAGAAGGGAGTTTCCCTCGGAGTCCTGGTCTGCAATCCCCCAGATGAAATTGTTCTTTTACTTCATGGCTGTTTGTAGCTCTATGCAAATTGGCTGTTGCATCCGCTCACAAAATAAACAGTCACTACAATTTACCGTATGTCCTGTGAAGCATCCCGAGAGGTCCTTCTGATGTGAAAGGTGCTATGTCAAATGTAAGTTTATTTTACAAAACATTTTAATGAAAGAAAATCCAAAAAAATCTTAGATTCCAGTAAATAGGATACAGACCTCATCTGTATTGATTTAGTGCCAGTTGCAGGAGCTCTACAGTTCACATTTGTGTCCCCTGCAGGGGAAAATCAGCCAGAGCCCTGTCCACAACCAACATTCAATCAGGTGTCACTATACAGTAACCAGAGGCAGTAAATTTGGCCAATTTTTACATACAAACATAGGAATGTACAAAATCAAGTGAGACTATTGAAGTCCATCTTGCTAGTCCACATTTTTTAAAAATCGTATCGTTCTATCAACCGAAGTCCAGGCTGAGATTGCTGCACAGTGCTGGGAGGTGAAGAGCTTCAGATGAGATGTTAAAACAAATAAAGTCCTTTCTGTCTGTTCAGGTGGATACTAAAGGTCCCAGAAAATGAAGGGAGGTTCTTACAATATCCTCACCAATAATTTTCCAAATTACTTGGTGATTCGTCTCATGGCTGTTTGCAGAAGGTTGCTGCTTGCAAAATGGCAGCTAAATTTGGCTGACAGATTTGGCCGGACCATGTCAAATCCTACCGCTCCGCCCTCGCCTCCGCTAAATCATCATTCTACTCCAAGACAATCTTGGAGGCCAAGGACAACACCAAGCTCCTCTTCTCCATCACAAACCGACTCCTCCGCCCACCCTCTCATGCCTCACCCATCCCCACCTCTAATGCCAACTGCAAAGCAATGCTGGAATTTCCTCGAATCCAAAGTCAAGGGAGTCCGCTCAGCTGCCTCTGCCACTGCAACTGCTACCCGCTCCCAATCTTCTCCTCCCACCCCAGCCCCTACCCATCCCTCCCTCCACACCTTTGAACCTGTCTCCCCTTCCTCTCTCATCGCTAGCATAACCCGTATGAAACCCGCCACCTGCTCCCTCGACCCCATCCCTACGCCCCTTCCTTACCTCCCAGCTCCACCTCCTTGCACCTTTACTCACTGACATTGACAACCTCTCCCTGTCCTCTGGTACTGTTCACACCCCTTTAAAAACTGCTGTCATCACTCCTATCCTTAAAGAACCCTCCCTGGACCTTTCTCTACTCCCTTCCTACCGCCCCATCTCTAACTTCCCCTTCCTCTCCAAGGTCTTGGAACAAGTTGTTGCTTCTCAGCTTCGCTCCTTCCCCTCCCACTACTCCCTTCTCGAACCCTTCCAAAGGGTTTCCGTGCCGCCCACAGCACAGAAACCGCCCTGGTCAAAGTGACAAATGACGTTCTGTCCACCTGCGACCAGGGCTCCCTCTGCCTCCTCGTCCTCCTTGACCTCTCTGCTGCTTTCGACACCGTCAACCACTCTATCTTCATCCACTGCCTCTCCTCTCACCTCAACCTCCACGGCGCTGTCCTTGATTGGTTCAGATTGTACCTCTCACACCACCTGCACTTCATCTTCTCAAACAGCTTCTAGTCCCCGGACCGTCTCATGCGGGGTTCCTCAGGTCTCTGTCCTTGGTCCCCTCCTCTTCAACATCTATATGCTCCCCCTTGGTGACATCATCCACAGACATGGGGTCAACTTCCACATGTATGTGGATGACACCCAACTGTACCTCTCTGCCTCCACCCTTGACTCCAGGACCACTGCTGTCCTGACAGAATGTCTGTCAGACATCAAGTCCTGGATGAGAGCGAACTTTCTTCAGTTGAATGTCAACAAGCACCGAGGCTCTCCTGATTGGTTCCTGTCAGAGCCTCCTCACCTCAGGCGCTGACAGCATCACCATCCATGGTTGCACACTCCACCTTGCTAAGCCAGTCTGGAACCATGGGGTCTTGTTTGACCCTCAACTATCGTTTCTACCCCATATCTCTGCCATGACTCGCTCTGCCTTCCCCAACCTCCGCAACGTCACCTGGCTCTGCCACTGTCTCACACCGCAGGCCACCGAAACCCTCATACACGTCCTCGTTACATTCGAGGCTCGACTCTGCAAACTCACTGCTTGTCGGCCTCCCCAACTCTTCTATTCACAGGCTGCAGATCATCCAGAACTCTGCAGCCCATGTCCTCTCTCACACTTGGCTCCGCAACCCTATCACCCCCATCCTCGCCCAACTCCACTGGCTTCCAATCACACAGAGGATACAGTTCAAGATCCTGGTCCTCACCTTCAAAGCCCTCCATGGTCTTGCTCCCCTCTACCTCTCCAACCTCCTAACCCCCTACCACCCTGTTTGCTCCCTCTGCTCAACGGGCTCCGCCTTGCTTCACATCCTCTGCCTTGCTCGCCCCATTATCGGCGGATGGGCCTTCCGCCACTCTGCACCCAATCTCTGGAACTCCATCCCGCAGTCCCTCCATCTCGCCCCTTCCCTCACCACCTTCAACACCCAACTCAAGACACTCCTCTTCAACCGTGCTTTCAATCTCCCTGCTTCCCCCCTTGCCCTCCACCCTCCCCCACCCAATCCTCAGCTCGGGTCCATAACTCTGTCTGTCCAACGCCTTGGGACATCCTCCCGACATGAAAGGCACTATACAAATGTAATTTTGTTGTTATTGTTGTAACTTTCCTACAAATACACAGTCACTACACTTTACAACAAATCCTGTGTATTGCTTTAAGACATCCTCCTGACGTGAAAGGAGCGATGTTAAATATTTTTTGTTTTTATTTTGTTATTATTATGAACAGGAATTCCCTTTGAAACACTTGGAGATGTTTCCATGTTACCAGCACTGTATTAAATACAAGGATTATTATTATAACCCTCAATTGAATTCTTCACCAAATAGCTATTTAATTCCCTCTTGAATTTGTCTGCACAAACTACCTCTGCAACCTTACTGGGTCATCTAATATATATTTTCACCATAAAGTAATTCAGTTGGTTCTATTTGTTAATATATTTTCTGAACTTGAGACCATATACTTGTCTCTGTTCCAATTGCATTGGCCTCCACCTTGTAAGAATGATACTAAACACCTTACTTGTTTAATATATGGCTCAATACCATATCAAGAGACTCAGCAAGGAAGTGGGTGATGGCCATGTAGTTATTTGGGCATGTAGAGCCGAGCTTATATATTACTTGGTGATTCGCCTCATGGCTGTTAGGGGGACGATACTGTGTGAGGGAATGAGATGGGGATGAAGATGGGTGATCTGGTCAAGATGTAGGAAAATGTTCTTTCTTGAGGATCAGATGTAAAGAATGAAGGAGAGCTGAGGGTTGAACCAAACGCCAAGATTGTGCTCTGTTCAGTGAGTTGGAGAGAGAAGCCAGGTTCCTTGAGGAAGTTGGAGCCAGCACTTCACATATGCTGAAGAAATATTGTTAGTTACCAACATACAGCAGAGCAGAACAGAACTTGGAAACTATTTTGTCAGTTAAAAGTATGTAAGATTAAACAAATGTTTTACTGTAATTCACTGAAAATTCTGGACTATCTACATGACTTAGAATTAAATAATTTACCTCAGAAATGTTCATTTATAATAATATAATAATTCTTGCATTGATACAGCGCTTTTCACGTCTTCTAGACGTCTCAAAGTGCTTCACAGAATACACTGTAAAGTGAATTGATTGAATATTTGTGGGCGAAAAGCAGCAGCCAATTGCGCACAGCAGTGTCCTACAAACAGTCATGGATTGAAGTGACCAATTTATTATTGTTTTTGTTTTTTGGAGGGATTATTATTAGGCGTGTGGAATCGAACCCAGGTTTCTCACTTGCGAGGCGATTAGGGTCTGAATCGTTCTCACCCCTCTGTCACCTCCAGACTTTACTTCTCCCATCAACATATTTCATCTGGATTGCTTACTTCTGGATTATTTAATCTCAAAATAGTTTGATCATTTATCATCTGAATACTTATAGGCTGTGCCAGTTTGTTGGCACAGTAAATACCTTGACATACTTTGCCCACTGGTGCCATGGTTCTGACTTACCCTCTGGTAATTTTGCTGTTTGCCAATTTGGCGAATCCGCTCTACCACATGTTGGATTCTCTCCTCAACCTCATCCATTTTGTCCTTGGTTTCAGCAAGAGACTCATCAATGGGAGGCTCCCCAACCTGAACATCCAAATGGACACGCTGCAAAGCAAACGCCCATGGGGAAGAGGAGAGAGAAATGGGTACAGTACTGTAAATGAAGAATACACGCTTGATGTCAACAGCTTTCTGCCTTTCTGGATTCTATTTTGAGTGTTTTGTAATCCGCTACACTTCACAGAATGTTTTAACATTACGCCATTAGGGTCATTGAGAAAAGTTTATCCTTTTCTTTTCAAATTGGGGCCAACAATGAGTAAACAAAGGAGTCAGAATGGAAAAAACTCTACTCTGTTATCAAAATGAAAGCATTTCCAAAAGGCTGTGTACAGATCTAGGACCTTTGTGTTTTATTCAGCTGACTGCCAAATCAAGCATTGCATTTACCACTGAACCAGTGAGCGTTCAGCTATGCCCGTATTCTCTCCAGTGTAGTTGAACCACATTGAGACATCCTCCCAGTGTGAAAGAAGGATGTGTCAAAGTACCCACTGGATCTCGATTCCTGAAACCCCCCACCTCCTTCAAGGCCTGTGTCAAGACCTTCCTCTTTGACTGGGCTTCGGCCACACTCCTACCCCCACTCCCCCTACCCTGCAACTCTCTTGATTCTAACCCCCACCTCAGGTGCAATCCCTTAGCTGTGTAGCATCTGTAAAGTGAATTGACTGTATATTTGTGGGCGAATGCGGCAGCCAATTGCGCACAGTAATGTCCCACAAACAGCCGTAGATTGAAAAAGACCAATTTTTATTATTATTTTTGGTTTTGGAGGGATTATTATTAGGCTCTATGTGGAATAAGGAAACTTGCCCAAGGTTTCGCGCTGCCTGGAATTGAACTCAGGTCTCTTGCTTGCAAAGCGAGTGCTCTAACCACTGAGCTACAGGACTCCAGGGCTCCAATGACTTGGAGCTTTAAAGCAATTGAGACTTCCTTTTCATTTATTCTAATAATTCCATTCTTCTGAGAAAAGGAACATTTGCATTGCATTTAGGTCAGAAGAAATGCTAATACATTTTCTTACCAGCTTATTTCCAGCAAATACCGCTAATTGGGTTGAATTGGATATCAGGCAGATGTAGTGTTCTCCTGGCAAGTGTGAGGTGAACGTAAAACGACTCTCTGAACCGTATAACTTATGCATCATTGTCTGTTATAACATGAGAAAAACAAGTGACTAGACAGTGTTTATTTGTCAATGTAGATCTTATGTGAATGGAAAAATAGCTCCTATAAATAATCCTTGCATTTGATATTACCTTATCGTGTTGAAATGTCTCAGAGCACTTCAGAGTTTTCTGTAGAATTTAGTGACTGCATTTTTGGGCAAATGCGGCTGTCAATTTGTGCACAACACTTGTCTACAAATGTGAAGTGAATGATCAGTTGTTTTAGATGGAAGATGATTGGCCAGGACATCAGGAGAAACTCCCGTTTTCATCAAAGTGTCATTGGGTTCTTTAGCATCCATCTGAACAGGTGCAGGGAACCTCCATTTAATGTCTGATCTGAAGGATGGCATCTCTGATGATGCAAAACTACCCCAGCACTGCATTGGCGTCTCAGCCTAGATTGTGAGCTCAAAGCTCCAATCTAGGGCTGGAACGCACAACTGTCTGACTCAGAGGCGAGTGTTACCAACTGAGCAGCCCAGCCACATTTCTATATATCAACCCATACCGAATACTTAATTCCAATCTATAGCATCATCCTGTTCCATTGCAGCATCAAGATGTTTCTTAAATGATTCCCAGAGTTTTATGTCTAGTGGATTCAAGGGACAAAATCCCTGCTCATGGGCCTTTGTTTGGGAAACCATTGCAGTAAAATACCTACTTCCACGATAAAGTATTTGCACAATTTTTAGAAATGTCTCTTGTTACGGTTCAAAAATATTTGCATTAAGGGAAATAAGACAACAAACTTAGCAAAGTATCAACATGACATAGTTTAGCAAAAGGCAAGTCACCTGTTCAATGATGAGAGCAAAGGGGAAGGTTAGAAGGAATTTCTTTACAAATTCTTAGCATGTGGAATGCCCAAACAGATGTGATGTCGAGGCATAATCCATATTTGCTTTCAAGAGGAAATTAAATAGATACCCAAAAAGGAATCATTTGCATGAGTATGGGGGAAAAGACAAGTAAATGGGACTGAATGGATGGCTCTTTCAACACAGACATGATGAGCCAAAATGCTTTCTATGCTGTAAATTTCTGTAGTTTTAAATCACAGCAGGGCTCAACATTCCCACCTGACTGTCAAAAGTTGGAATATGTTTAGCCAGTTGTTGGCTGTGTAGCTAGATGGGGAGTCCCATGGAATCTTCACTGCTGTCACCAAATCTATACTCAGCAGACACTAAGCCACTGGGAGTCCAAAGTTCATTTTACAAAGGAGAGCATTGCTGAGGTGATGAGCTATGAAATAGTTAAAAACAAAGGTGTTGTACCTTTCCATCCGGTCCTTTGATAGTCACAAACATACCCAAACCTGGTGCGGAGGAAAGAAAGCCATGGGCAAGAAAATCCCACGCCTGCATTTTGTACCTTCCTAAAACAAAAGAAGAAGGTTCAAACTCAAATGATCTGGCTTTCATTCAAATATCTGTAGCATTGGCAAGAAGAGATGATTTTTTAAGTGTTATTAATCTAATTTGAAACTGAACTTTGAAGTTTAATCCGTGTGAAATAACAAGGCTGTGGGCAGCGAAATGACCAAGGACGCTCACAGATAAGCACCATTATTATTGTGAAATGTTGATCCTGGCATCATATCTCTCTCTGAGTCCCTTCTTCGCGCCCCCCAACCCCAGAGGCAATCAAAGAGGTATATTTTAAGGTGGGATTTGAAGATAGATAGAGAGGGAATGAGGTGAGATAACTATTTTGTTTGTGCAAATAGACATGGTTAAAAAAATCCTTTAAGTATCTTGGCATGTCTTCCTGACGTGAAAGTTGTTATATAAATGCAAGTTATTGTTTGTTGGTGTTTAAGCGATCTCGCTGTTCAATATCCACAGCAACAGAACAAGAACCATTGATTGCATTTGGCCTACAATTTTAAGATATAATGTAAGATGTTTTGGTGAGATGAAAAGGTGCTTATGCAAGGATAATTGGTATTTTTAAGTGTTTTTGTTAAGTTATTGATATTTTTATTTTAAAGTAAATATGCTTTTGCAAGTAAAGATGGCACCAGCACGCTGCCCATAACAGCCATAGTTGACCGGAACTGGCTCAGTTGGTAGAACTCTCGTCTCTGAATCAGAAGGTTGCGGGTTCGTGTCAGGACCTGGAACTCATTTATCCAGTCTGACACTCCAATGCAGTGCTGGGAAGTGTGCTGCATTGTTAGAGATGCCGTCCTTCGGATGAGATGTTAAACAGAGGTTCCACCTGCCTGTTCAGGTGGACGTTAAAAATCCCATGGCACGATTTGAAAAGAGGAAGGAGTTTCTCCCAACGTCCTGGCCAACAATCCCCCAAATAAAATTGGTCACTCACTCCATTGTTGTTTGTGGGACATTGCTGTGAACATATTGGCTGCTGTGTTGACCCACAAAGCATAATCACTCCACTTTACAGTATCCGGTGAAGCACTTTGGGACGTATTCCTGACATGAAAGGCATTCTACCAAATGCAAGGATTATGATTATTAATAGGACACCAAGAGAAGCCTCCCTTCACTTTTGATAGTATTGTGGTACTTTGATGTCCGCCTGAAACAAGTAGATGGGAGCTCAGTCCAAAGAACAATACCCCGAGCACTGAAGTGGAATTAATAACAACAACAAGAAATTACATTTGTATTGCACCTTTCACGTCAGGAGGACGTCCCAAGGCACTGAGCAATCAGGAATTTGGACCCGAGCAGGGGATTGGGATCAGGATGGGTGGAGGGCAGTGAGGGCAGGGATACGAGTTTGAGTGAAGGCGCGGTCGAAGAGCAAGGTCTTGAGATGTGCCTTGAAGGAAGCAAAGGAGGAGTGAGGTGAAGGGACTGTGGGATGGAGTTCTAAAGGGTGGGGACAGAGAGGCTGAAGGCCTGACTGCTGGGCAGCGGATGTGAATCAGGCCAGAGCCTGCTGAGCGGAGGTAGTGGACAGGTTGATATGGGTTTAGCGGGTCACAGAGGTAGGAAGGAGCAAAGTGCAGGAGAGAACACGAAGTGCAGAGTTCCAAATAATCTGCAGCTTGTGGAGGGAAGAGTTGGGAATGCTGACAAGCAGGGAATTGGCGTAGTCGAGCTTAGGTGTGATAAATGCAAGGATGAGGGTTTTGGCAGCCTGAGGGGTGAGGCAGTGGCAGAGCCCGGTGATGTTGCAGAGGTGGGGGAAGGCAGAGCTGGTTATGGTACAGCTGTGAAAGGACAGTTGAGGACCAAATAAGATGCCAAGGTTCCTGACTGGCTCAGTGAGGTGGAGTGTGCATCTCATACAGCAGCAAGAGTGCTATAGATTGAGCCAAATGGACTCAATAAATACAGTAGACTTACCTGTAACCAGAGTATCGACAGGGATATCCTCTATAATGCATTTTTCTTCTCGTTCTCCTTGATGAAAATAGAGAGCAAAAGAAAGGCCCCAACAGGAACTCCACAGAAACACTAGCAATGGACACTTCATGCTAATACAGAACTCCAGTTGCATTGAGAGACACTTACATCAACAGAGGAGGGGGAAAGCACTGTAGTAACACGTCACACAAAAACAGAGGGTGGATTTTCCCTGAATCTTGATCTTTGGCATTGACTTTGGTGCATTGGGAATGTTGTCATGTTATAAGCGCCACCCAGTGGAAGCATCGCTTTGGTTGCAATCTGTGCAGCTGGACCTACAATAGTTACCAATGTTAATACAACAAAATATTTTATGTATGCCTGTTGTAATAATTGCATTTGATATAACACATTTCATGTCGGAAGGACGTCTCCAAGCGCTTCATAGAATTTACTGCAAAATGGTAGTGACTGTATTTTTTGTAGGCATATGCATGTATATATATGCGCTCACCTACATCTCTGACCTGCTGTCTCCCTACCAACCTATCCGCTCCCTCCGTTCAGCGGGCTCCGGCCTGCTCCATGTCTCCCTCCTGACCAGCCCTACCATCAGTGGCCCAGCTTTCAGCCTCTCTGCCCCCACACTCTGGAACTCCATCCTTTGCCTCATTTCTTCCCTTGCCTGCTTCAAGGCCGATCTCAAAACCCTCTTCTTCGATCGTACCTTCGGTCGCCCTCCCACCCCTCTGCCTTCCCTCACCCACGCCCCACCCCTCTCCCATGCTCGGGTCCTGACCCCTGACTATCCAGCGCCTTGGGACATCCTCCCGACGTGAAAGGCTTTCTATAAATGTAATTTTGTTGTTGTTATATATATGTATATGGATTCATAGATTTTCAAATGTTCTGTTTAATATGATTTTATTTACAATAGGGATGGCAACTTATTCCTTTTAGGACTTCAAAACATCTTATCACATTGAGATTTCTCAAAATGAGTCACTGGTTATGTTTGCTTTGGTGACTGTTTCTGTAGATAAAAACACAGCAGCTATTTATACCAGTGTGAGCCCACAATCAGCCACAGTATGAATGATGAATTTATTTGGAGGATTGTCAGCCAGCACACCAGGAAAAACTCTTCTAATTTCTAAGCATTGCTGTGGAATCTTTTAATATCTGTCCACCTGATCAGGCAAACAGGAGCGCAGTTTAATTATCCTCAAGCCACACCTTTAACTGTGCAGTGCAGTTAAAGTAAAAACCTGATTATCTGGGGATCTGAAGTCAAAACATCTAGGCTTCTGTTTTTTCTCGTGAATATGAAGTGTCATGGAATAGGTATAGCATGGATCAGATGCAAAGGGAAGCATACACTTTTGATGGACACACATACATACCCGTGTATAGATACAGATGTGTAAACACAGACACGTAAAGACATTCGTACACCTACATTTGCTACATAGGTAGGAGAGCGCCCCTCACTGGTACATTCTCCAATGGCCATCACCACCCTTTGACCTGTTTCTTTGATTTAACTTGAGTTGAAAACACACTTATCACTTTAATGTTTCACTGATGTCTTGATTAATGAATCCTGTGACTTATACAAGGTCAACAGTTGGCTCAGTTGGGAGTGCTCTCGCCTAAAGCAACAGCAACTTGCATTTATAAAGAGCCCTTTATGCAGGGGACAATCTCAAAGAGATTGACAATGGCAAAGATTGACACCAAGCTGGGGAGAAAGGGGAAGTGACTGCAGGGCATTGCCAAAGAGGAAGGTCTTCAGGTGCGATCTGAAGACAGTCAAAGAGTAATCAAGGCAGAGGGATTTAGTTCCAGAGTTTCAGGGCATAATGGCTGAAAGTACAGCCACTGGAAGGGAGATGATGGAAGTACAGAAGGCAGGAGACGGCTAAACGAAGGCCAGATTGAGATTTTTTTTTTGGTCAGTTGGGTATCTGACACATGCGGAAAACCCATCACCATGTTTAAGAGTATCCAAACCAAGCTGAGAATTACATGCATCCCACCTACACATGGAAATTCCAGATATAGATTGTTGGAATGAAATGTGCACTCTCTCCCTGGAGGGACACATCCTGTTTACCTAATTCCGGAAAATATAAGGGGCAGGTTGACGAGAGCCAAGACTTGAGGACTCCAGAGTATGTATTGGGGTACTAGTGGAGTCTAACCAGCCAAAAACACATAGCTTGCCATTGATAAAATCTGTCTGATAAGCTTTCCTATTGCTTAACCAGCTGGGACCACCTATTAGGGCTTTGGCCTGCAGGGTTAACAGAAGCTGAGCAGGTTGATTCCCTGCCCCCAGTGACTGGTCTGCCCTTCCAGGTCCTGCCAATGGCTGGCTGTGCTGTCATCAGCAGTGCCCTGGAATACTGTGGACCTGCCTGGCTCAGGAACCGGACTACCGAGACCACCACAGAGGGCCGGCTCGATTCTGACATTCTGTTGCCAGGCATGTCACCTTGGAGCCTGTTCAGCTCCAAGGAAGCCCTGCTTAGCCCCCACCACCGGAGGATATTGCTAGCCGGTCATTCAATATCCAAAAAGTGCAGGTTTGAGCCCTCACTAGGTAGATGGCAGTTAGAGGAGTAGGTTGTGGGCAGGTTGGAGAGATAGAGAGGTGCCAGGGTATTAAGCGATCTTGAAATCAACCCATTCTGCAAGGGAGCCAGTGGACTCTGGCAAGGACTAGAATGACCGGGATGCAGAGTTTGGTATAGATGAGGATTCAAGTGCTGGAATTTTGAATCAAAGCCAGAAGGGTTCAGGCCCCACATTGAGACTTGGAGCTCATAGTCTAGGCTGACACTCCAGTTCAGGGCTGGGGAAACAATGCTTTGTTGGAAGTGCAGTTCTTCCGAAACCCACCACCATGCTTATAAAAATATCTATACTCCTGAGAGTTCCACATCTGCAGGGAAATTTCCCATTGCCTGGAATAGAATGGTGCACTGATAATAATATAATAATAATAATAATAATAATCCTTGCATTTGATATAGCGCTTTTCATGTCGGGAGGACGTCCCAAAGCGCTTCACAGAACACACTGTAAAGTGAATTGACTGTATATTTGTGGGCGAACGCGGCAGCCAATTGCGCACAGCAATGTCCCACAAACAGCCGTAGATTGAAAATGACCAATTTATTATTGTTTTGGGTTTTGGAGGGATTATTATTAGGAGTGTGGAGTAAGGAAACTTGCCCAAGGTTTTGCCCTGCCTGGAATTGAACTCAGGTCTCTCGCTTGCAAAGCGAGTGCTCTAACCACTGAGCTACAGGACTCCACTGATGTGAAAAGGTGCTATATCAAATGCAACAATTATTAGCAGGATACAATGTATTTTGTGGGCAAACGCAGCAATCAATTTGTGCACAGCAATGTCCCACAAATGTCCTTGAGCACTTCAGGATGTCCTCCTGTGGTGAAAGGCACTATATAAGTACAATCCCGGGGATGCTCGGCAGCCAATCACTGCACCCACCAATCTCCACTCAGCTATGAATTACACACAAAGTTCACAGATGTCCAGGGTGATCAAATGGAGATTTATTTCATGATGAATGAACCATAGAATTTTACAACACAGAAGGAGGCCATTCAGTCCATTGTGCCTGAGCCGGCTCTCTGCTGGGGAGAAATTCCACCCCATTTCCACTTAACTCTGTGTAGTGTTTCAGAGCGGCCAATGTATAGCAGATTGCTGAATTCATACTTAACTTTGAAGCCAGTTCTCCAAAGTTCTTGAAAGAAACTCAAGNAAAAAACAGTTTCAAAATTAAGGCTGCATTTAAGAATTGCCAATTTCTGAATGTTTTAAAATGCTACATAAATAGAGAGAATCTAGCCCCAGAGTAAGAGCTATTCATTTAGTCCCACTCCCCTGTCCTTATCCCCTTACCCTTTTATTCTTTCTGATCGTTCCTTTTGAAAGTTATTATAAATTCTGTTTCATCCACTTTTTTTTTGATGTGGTGTCCCATGCCCTAATAATAACTCAGTGTGTAAAAACAAATTTCTGAAAACCGCTCTCATTTGCTTTTTTGTGGCTAGTAATCTTAAATTGATGCTATCTAAAGACACAATTGTTATTTCTCTTTGGGTGAACACTGTCACTGATCGAGGACATCTGTGTGTGTTTGGGGGTGGAGGGAGAGGTACAGCATATTTGCTGATCCAGACACAGCTGGGCACATTGCCAGATAGACCGAGGAGGAACTTCAAAACCGATGTTAAATCAGAGACGGGGGGAGAGAATTATAAATGACCTCATTCTAGAACGTTCAGTATTTTGGCAAATTGTTAAATGCTTAATTTTGAAGCCGGTTTCTCCGTCAATTTCTTTTAAGAAAAACAATTTAAAAGTTAAGTCTGAAATCAACAATTTATGAGGAGATTGTATGTCTTTATTCAGGTTCAGATGATGGTTGCAAACCTCTCAATCATTGCTCACAAGTTCACAACAGTGGGTCCAGACCCCTCGATGGGATGATATCTCCATGTCCATTCTACTCTGGTTATGGATTTCATATCAGGGCGCGCATGTGTGGGTAGGTTCTCTCCATCAATATGTTGGTGCAAAGGAACGAGAGATGTGGCTTTGATGTCCGGAAAATGAAGGCTGACAGGAAAAGCATTGGTAGCATTCAGGGAGGACAAATGGCAACAGAGGAAGCCAGCATTCAGAGCCCTGAATTGCTGACAATTGCTTGAAATTCATTTGCATCTCACGAACCTTCGCTGGTTCGATATACAAAAATAATCAGCCCTGCTGAAGGCGTCAATGCAATCAGTCACCACCAGATGCCGCCGCTACACACAGTTATCCAGCACACACTCCTTCTCCTCCTCCAGTGTTGGGCAGGGGTTGCCGTTGTTGGCTGGCTTCAATCGGATGTAGCGAGTGCGGTGCTTGGAACCCATCTGGGTGCACTTTCCCATGCACAGGCCCCAGGAGGACCATGTGGAGACCTCACAGTCCAGCGGCGTCTCTGCAATACACATTCAGAACAGACAGTGTGAGATGAGAAAATATCGATCGCTCATTCAAGCCTTCTTCTTCCATAGCCCATGTCAATAATTCCAGCAAGAAGCTCCATTTATCAGAATTATTGCATCTGGTATGGCACCTTATCACGTCGTCAAGAAATCTCAAAGTGCTTTACAGGAGTTTAATGTAATGTGTAGTGACTGTGTATTTTGTAAGTGAACATAGCAGCAAGTTTAAAAAATAGCAATGTCCCACAAATAGCCATGAAGTGAATTTTATTTGGTACGATTGTTGGCCAGGACTCCGGGAGAAATTCATTTTGTTTTTGAATAGTGCCACGGGATCTCTAATATCCAACCGGACAGACAGATGGGACCTCAGTTTATCATCTCAACCAAAGAACAGTACCTCCAAAATTGCAGAGTTCCCTACAACAACAAATTGCATTTATATAGCGCCTTTTTCATCAGGGGAATGTCTCCAATATTGCATTGGAGTGCAGCCTCAACCTTCAATTCAAAGTCCTGATGTGGAACCTGAACCGATGACCTTCTGACTCAGATGTGAGAGATCTCGCTCTGAGATGCTGAGGAGAGGGGAGAAGGAATAATATGGAGGTTGGAGTTATCGGACACAGGTTTACCGCTACCCCCTTTCTGAACGAGCCAGTAGCCAGCGCTTTTGCTTATGGAACATCCGATACCATCCAAAATGTAAATACCTACTTTGTTGCAAAAGTAAAAGATGTCAGTAGTTCAGTCAGGAACTCAATACGATGCTAACTCAATGCTAATTCCCTTGCAATAGCATCACCCAAAATTTAAAGAATCAACCAATCGAAAGCTTTTTTTCTGAAATAAAAATATCTGCACAGTGCTGGCCTTAACGTTGTAAGAGCCAGATAGAGTGATCTGCACTAAAATGTGGGCAGCGCAAGGCATTTCCTTTCAAGAAAGGCGTCTGTTAAGGGAAGGTTTACCAGCGAGGGGCTGAGTGCAGGCAGGCAGGGGGTGCTTAGACATCTGGCCAGGTTACAATCAGTGTAAACAGTTCCCCTCCCCACCACCAGGTCATGAGACATATTAAAAATCGTTCCCACAAGGGAACTATCCCAGCCGGTGGGAAAGAGCAGTAATAAACCAAAGGAATTTACTGTTGAAGGCTCCAAACAAAAGGAGTCAATAACAACAAGAACAACTTGCAATTATATAGCGCTCTTCAAGTAGGGTAGTGTCCCGGAGCACTTGAAACTGGATTCCAAAAATACGAAATTCCACCTAGACAGAAGTGCGGTCCATGTGCGGCACCGATCGGCCAGGTTTCTACCCATGTCCCAGAAATTAGATCAGCGATGACCTGGGAAATGGGAACGATAGACATTTTTTGTTGCAGTCCCACATTGACACTTTATCTAATTTTATGGACCACATTATGAGAAAGTATTCCTTGTATGTGGGATGCAACCAGTCAATGTGGCCCAGCGTAGAGCTGCATTGTTAGATTATAATAAGGAGCAATATAATACTGAAGCATTCAAGTCACCTGATATTGAGTCATCAATCTCATTGCCCATAGGAAGGAGGTTGGACTGAACTGTAGAAATCCCTATCACCCGGCTGTCTCTCAGCTTTGTCAATGTAACTCTGGCCATCGGAGGAAGGTGCTTCAGTCTCGGGTAGAAGAAAGAGTTTGCGGGATGGTTTGGAGAGCTCGACGTTATCTAATGAATGAAGGATGTCCAGGAGGTTAGTGTGAAAAGACACTAGATTTTTGGCTTTGTCGCATTTTACGTGCATCTGGAACTCAGAACAATTATCATAATAATCCTTGCATTTGATACAGTGCCTCATATCGTTGAGATGTCTCAAAACGCTTCACAGATTATATCGTAAAGTGGATTAATTGACTGTGTATTTTATGGGTGAAATGCAGCAGCCAATTGCACACAACTGTTTCCCACAAACGGTCATGGATTGAGTGACCAAATTTGTTTTATGCCACCATCTCGCCACTGGAACTGTCTACTCCAATCCTATTCCTGTGCTTCCTCCTTGGCCTGTTTATTTTTATCTTTAGGACAAGACATTAAACTGAGATACTGTTTATTCTTTATTCTTCAAGTGTTTACCTAATTTCCTTTTAAATCTGGTAAGTAATTTGACTTCAATAACCACTTGTGATAACTCACCCTCATTTCTAATAAACCTTTGTGTAAAAAACATTTCTTAAAACTTCCAACTTGTACATACCCATCATTGCTAATTTACCAACCAGTGGAAATATTAGGGTGAGGTCCAACCTTCTATGTCAGAAGGTTGTGGTATCAAGCCGCATGTTAGGGACTTTAGCCCATAGTCTAGGCAGAGACTCCAGTGCAGTGCTGGGGGTGCTCTGCCTTGACGGATAAGACACTGCATTTGACAGCAATTAGCTGTGAAGCATTTTGAGATGTTTCAACGTTAAAGGCACTGTATTAAGTGCAAGGATTTTTTAAAATAATAATCATAATAACCTTGCATTTAATAAAGTGCCCTACATATTGAGAGGCCATCTCAAAGTTCTTCACAGGATTTAGTGTAAAGTGCAAATGATTGTATTTTGTAGCCAATTGCGGCAGCCAATTTGCGCACAGCATTTGCAATTTTATCTGAAGGATTGTTGGCCGGAGCAGTTGGGAGAAACTCCCTTTTTTAAATTAAGCATGTTATTTGGTAGGAACATTATAGAGGTCTGAGGGAGAGGGGATGGGGGGATTAGGAGGGATGGAGGAACACGTATAAACACTAGCATGGACTAATTGGCTGAATGGCTTGTTTCAGTGCCAGACAGCCTACATGATTTTTGGTCACATTGTTACCTGAGTGATGGTCTCCTGGGGAATCGTGGCAAAGTTGGGAGATGAGAAGGTGAAGCCGCTGTCGGTCCCCGCATCGTGTGGATACAGGTCCACGGACACCTGCTCTTTCCAGTGGTTTCCTTCACACAGATTGAAACTGTCACGACCTACAAACCAGTCGGGGCTCGGCACAATCCGAGCCATGAAGGAAAGCTGGAAATAAGCATATGGATTTTTGGGTAAGAAGGTTTCAAGCTGGGACTTGAATTCGTACTTCAGGCTAACACTCCACTGCTGTGCTGTTGGAGCCCTGCAATGTCAAAGGTGCCATACTACAGATGAGATGTTAAACGTAGGCTTTGTCTGCCTCTGTTCATGTGGACTTAATAATTGTCCCGATAAATAGGTCACCATTCAACTCTCACCCCTGTCACGTTTTCACTCAAAATACACTACAATTCCCAAATGGACAAAACCATGGTTCACTTTAGGAGCTCCCAATTTATTACTAAAGTCTTTTGAATTCTCTCACATTCTTCTCCCTCTATATTCCCTCCCCCAATCTAAATTGCTCTCTGATGTCAGTCTGGCTTAATCTTGCTTCCAGTCAGTAAGTAATGAGTTCAAGCCCCTTCTTGGGGACTTCAGCTCAACAGTCCAGGTTGACACTCCAGGGCAGTACTGGGGACCACTGAATTGTCAGAGTTGCCGTCCTCCAGTTGAGATGTTAAATTCAACTGCCTTCTGCCCGTTCAGGTGGATGTTAAAAGTCCCATAGCACTATTGAAAAGAGAAGGGAGTTCCTCCAGATGTCCTAGTCCACAATTCTCCAAAAAAAATTGCTCATTTGCCTCATGCCCATTTGTGGAACTTTGCTGCAATTGAATATCCACTGCAATTGACATTAAATACTGCAATGTGATTTTGGTCAGAGGGATGTCTGACGCAATGCAGAAACCTATCACCATGCTTAAGAGTATCCAAAGCAGATAAGAGTTCCACATATATATATATGCCACCCACACATGGAAATTGCCCTGTGCCTAGAATGGAATGTGCACTCTCTCCCTGAAGGGAAGCACCCTTCTTACCCAAGCCCAGAAATTATTAGGTACAGGTTGGCGAGTTCCAAGGTTTGAGGACCCAGAGTGCCAATCACATTTTCAACCCTGATTTATAGTAATGTTCCAGATAAATCTGTAGGACCTTGCTACGTGCAAATCGGTAGCCACATTTGACCACAAAATACAGTCACTACACTTGACAAGAGCGCCTATTAATGGCAAGCTGGTAAAAGAAAATTTGAGGGCAGGCAACAGGAAGTATTTATTTCCCTAGAGGGTAATTAACAGGAGTACTGGGAAGGGTGGTTGAGGCCAGGGCGCTGGGACTCATTTAAGAAACAATTCAATATTGTAATGGGAGGATGGTAGGATGGGTATTCTGGAAGGATGAGATCAAATGGACCAAAGGACCTTCTTCATCCAAACTCTGTTGTGATATTTCGATTTTAAAGATTTTTTTTAAGTGACTGTACAAGCATGCTCAACACATGAACGAGAGTCAGCCCATTGAGTTAAGTGCTGGACAAAACCACACAGCCCATTCTTATCCCAAGTCTCTTTGAAGCTTTCATTATGATCAGCTTCAGATTTATGTTTAAGAACACTTCTGTGGAATTAACACGTACTCTGACCCCATAAAATGTCAGGACTGAGGTAAGAGCTCCATCTGGACCTGGGTAAAATCAATTTATGAGGTTAAGTGGATATAATTGGGAATGCTGGCTCCACAGGTAGATGATAAACCTCTGTGTAGCATGGAGAGGAACAGATGGCCAGGAGAATATTACCTCTTCACTGCAAAATGTGTATAGTGCTTCTGGCTTATATTTATTTCAACCTTTTTTTTAAAACCAGTTTGCCTTCACTGGTCCATGTGCAGCAGATTAAAAAAAACTATTTTCACAAGACCTTATTATGTCAAAAGGCCTCCAAATACTTATTAATGGTAGTCCTTACATTTGATATAGCATTTCTCGTGTTGGGAGGACATCTCATAGCAAATCACAGGATTTTTTTTCTGTACGTTAATGGAAATTCTGGTGAAGTGCAGTGACTGTATTTTTAGTCAGAAAACACAGTGGCCATTTGGCTTGGCCTTGTCTTAACACAGGGCCTTGGCTTAACACAGCATCCTAAGGGCAGCACCTCTGACAATGTAGCCCTCCCTCAAGACTGCACTGGAGTGTCAGCATAGCCTGTGAGCTCAAAATCCCAAAGTAAACTCAGAGACATACACCAGAAGCAAGAGCGCTACCATTAATTAATCTGTGCCAGACTGACACCGATGAGCCAAGTAGTTTTGGGATGAATAAAATAAAATGCACTTAAGAGGCAACGTGATGCCTAATGAGAGAGAAGACAATAGGGGATTACAGGATTGTCTTTGGGATTTACTGAAGAAAAATTTTGGCAGCCAATTTGGCACAACAATATCCCACAAACAATCATGAACTGAATAACCAATTTTATCTGATGGATTGCTGGCCAGGACATTGGGAAAAGCTCCTTTCTCTTTACGAATGATGTCACCCAATCATTCGTGTCCATCTGAAGTCAGGCGGGACCTCGATTTAACATCCAAAGCACCTCTAACAATGAAGTGCACCTCTCCCTCCAGCACTGCATTCGAGTGTCAGACAAGACAATGCGAGTTCAAAGTGCCGTCTTGGGACTTGAACCCACAACCTCTGACTCAGAGACAAGGTGAGAGTGCTAGTGCTATCAGTGGAACCAGACTGATTGACACATTGACAAATTAGGAGCAAGCTCAAGCAACAATATGGAGGGATACTCACAAGAGAATGCCGGGGGTGCACCTCAAATTCAGTCGAGGTCTGCTCCGTACCACTGGTGCTGGCTGGTGCAGAGAAGATCCCATAGACACTTTGGATCTTCTCTCCTGCTGCCTCCACCTCTTTCATCAAGCCCCACGCCTCGCCTTTCTCCACAAACTCCCGCACTCCATTACTGGCATACTCACCCAGCCTCCACATGTGGTAGTCACTGCTGTGGCTAACCGCTGTTTTTAAGCGAAAGAGCAAAGATGTAAAGAAATGGTCGCCAATGCTACAGAGTTTGCAGTATCTTCCCTCCAGCGGTAATACATTAAAACCACAATAGATATACGTAATCAGCATAAACCAGTAACCATATGCCCAAGCAATCATTCCATTCCCCTTAAATCTTCAGAAAAGTCTTCTTTACAGAATTGGCACAATTAACATTTTTCTTGTATTTGTGAATCATTGGTGGTTTAAAGGAAACAGAGCCAAGAATGAGATATATTCACTATTTCCACAAATCAGAGTTAATGGATAACTGCACAAACCAGTGTTTGTCCAGCCAGCAAAAAATTGTCTCCAGAGGCTTTGTCTCTCGGAGTTAAGGACATGTCTACCCCAGGTCTGTCTTGCATTCCTGCAAACCTGCCTATCTTCTTCAGGCACACAGGCCTTCTCAGAACACTATATCATTTTAATGGCATAAATACTTCAAAACAATCTGCTTTTCCCAAAAAACTAAAAAGTGTTTATAAGTCAAAGAGCACATTTTGACTGTGGAAATTTTTACTCTCGAGCAGATTCTTTTTTTCAAGAGGATCAAGATGGGCGATGGAATGTGGAATAGAATTGTGGGGAGGAGGGGGGGGTCTCTTAGGGTCTCCGTGGGGTCTCTTTGGCTCCATGGCAATGGACCTGCTGAAGACAGAGTTGAGACAAGTCTCTACGGTAGACATTGTGATGAGCTAAGCAGGTCCGCAGAACTCCATAGCACTGCTGACCATTGATTGGTTCATCTGCAGAGAGATGGGATTCTTCCCACCAGGCTCCTGATATCTCTGAAACCCAATGCCATGACACGTAGTGTGGTCCTAGCTGCACGAAGAGCTAGAAACCTACAAATCTTTCAAACAAATATCAAATGCAAGGATTAGTATTGTATTGCTGCACTGAGCTGTGTGGTTTCAGGTGTCTCAGTTCCAGCAGAACCCCACTGTGTACTTTGAAAGTCCTTTATGCCTTGACTTCTGCCAACCACACCTGTGTTCTCCAGTCATAGGCTAGAAGGGTGTTGCTCCCTCCCACCGCACTCAGCCAGACACTTTGCTTCTGTAAGCTATCAGCAGCTGGAATTAGAGACTCAAACACGGCACAGGATTCCATCTCCCTGGTGTCCCAAAGCACACATGGGGAGAACCTCCATCTGAGTCTAGATTTATTCGATCTATGTTGCATTTTCAGAACATCCAGAATTTGGCAAATTCCTAAATACCATCATCATTTTGAAGCCAGTTTTCTGTAAGTTTCCTTTAAGAACTACACAAAAAAAACTTCAAAGTTACAACTGAATTCAACAATTTGCAAATTTTGGATGTCCAACGTGTTATATTACCGTTTGAATCGCTAGCACCGAAAAGACTATTTGAATTAAAACTAATTTCTGATGCTTCACAATTGGAATGAGAACCGCAACTTTGTATTGAAAAATGCTCTTTTGAACCTCACAAAGGTGGACTACAAAATATAAAAGGAATCTTAACAACTTGCACTTATATAGTGCCTTCCACTCATGGTAACGTCTCATAGCCTGACTCCGAATGGGGGGTGGGAAGAGGGGTGACCGAAAGCACGGTTGAACAGGAAGATTTTCATGGTGGGGCCTTGAAAAAGGGAAGATAGGGGGCAAGGTGTTTCAGGGCGTAGTGGTTGAAAGCGCGACATCCGTTGGTGGGGAGGAGGGGACGAGGGACAAGCAGGAGGCTGGTGCCAGTCGAGCAGAGGTGGTGGATTGGGGGAGTGAGGAGGTTGGAGAGGTAGGGTGGTGCCAGGGAGTGAATGGATTTGAACATGAGTGAGGATCTTGAAGTCGACCCGTTCGGTGATGGGGAGCCAGTGGAGCCTGGCCAGAATTGGTGAGATAGGGGTAGAGCGTTTGGTCCGGATAAGTATGCGGGCAGCAGAGTTCTGAATGAGATGGATTTTTTGAATAGTGGAGCTGGGGAGACCGGCGAAGAGTGCGTTTGAGTACAGCAGCAATTTACATTTTCCGAGTTGAATCAGAATCATAGAGTTTTTAATTATTAATTTTTTTAAGACGACATTATGTAGCTATTACAGGAGATGTCTTTCATCACATTTGTAAAAGTTTTTGTCACCGAGTTGATATGTGAAAACATCTACATGACATGCAGTTGAGCATCTCATCCAGACCTCTAAGTCAGGACTTTTGATTCACCCTGTATCGCCCCTTTCACATTGGGAAGATGTCTTTTCAAATAGTGTAATAGGATCTAAAACATCCAAGGCAGACAGGACCTCGGTTTAACGCGTCATCCAAAGGACGGCATCTCTGGCAAAGCAGCGCTCTCCACATCATAGCTCTGGAGCTCAGCTTTTGAGTGATCCAGGCGGGAGGTGACAAACGCTTGCAAAAGGGTTTGGGCTACATTTGGGGTAAGATACGGTCAGAGGGGGCAATGTGGCGGAGGAAGGCGGGCCTGGTCAGGGACTGGATGTGGGGGAGGAAGGACAGTTGGGGTCAAACCAGACGCCTAGATTGCACATTGGTTCAGTGAGTCTGAGGGAGAGACCAGGGAGGTTGAGGAGTTCAGATCTGCAGGAGTCAAGATGTTGACGGGAACCAAAGCGCTTCACTGGAGTTCACTGTAAAGTGTCACGACATTTTACATAGAATCCTGTGAAGCGTTTTGAGACATGCTCCCGAAGTGAAAATCAAATGAAAGGATTATTATTATTATTAATAGTCAAGTAGACTATTACAGAGATTTATAGATTGTGCAGCATGGAAACAGGCCATTCGTTCCAACAAGTTGGTGCCTGTGTTTATACTCCACCCACTCTTCACTTTCTCCTATACCATTCTATTCCCTTCTCTTCCCTTCTTCCATCTTCCCAACGTGAAAGGCGCTATATATAAAAGTGTAATTCTATTCCCTGTAACCTGGTCCTAGTTGGACAAGCCATGGGAAAGCGTGCCAGATAGTGATACCAGTGGCAAGCTATGTAGTTTTAGCTGGTTAGACTTCAGCAGAACCCCAACGCACTCTGGGTGCCAACTTCTACCTAATACTCACCAGAATTAGGTAAACAGGATGTGTCCTTCCAAGGAGAGAGTGCACATTCCATTCCAACAGTCTATCGGGGATTTCCATGTGTTGGTAGGATACATGAAATTCCCCGTTTGGTTTGGATACTCTTAAGCCTGGTGATGGGTTTCCTCATGTGTCAGACACCCATCTAACCAAAAATATATATTCCTTTCTTTTTTATGTGAATATCTAGCTTTCTCTTAAATACAACTATACTATCTGCTTTAACCACCGCTCACGCAGCAAGTTCCAAACAGATCATTAAAAAGTACAATAAATGTTTTATTTGGGCACCAGATGCTGTTTTTGATTGAATCAAAATGATATGAAATTAAGAAGGCATCTAAGATCTAATTTAAGATCGGCAACTGGGCCGCTAGAAGAGGTATTCATAATAATATAATAATCCTTGCATTTGATATAACGCCTCATCATATTATCGAAGACATTCCAAAGTGCTTCACATCATATTCTCTAAAGTGAATTGACTGTGTATTTTGCATATTCATGTTAAAATCACTTACCGATCAGTGGCGACCACTGAGCAGGGGGTCGGTAGAGGGGATACTGCTTGGGAAAGGCGCTTTGGGTCCATTTGCCAGTAAAGACCATGCTGTATTTTGCCCGCCCCCCTGCTGTGCAAGGCTGCACCCCCTCCACTGGCAGACACTTCACATAACCCGGCACTGTCACAAGCAAAGTGCACGCAATTTTCCAGAGTTTGCAGACCGACATAAGTTTTTCCATGGTTTCAATCCTGCAGGGAGGGGGGTAAAAAAACTGAAACAAAACCACACACATACACACACAGAACAGGCTCACATTTCCATGTTATGACGATTAATGTGGCAGAAGGGAAGGGAAGCAGGGGAATAGGAAGAGGGAAAGCCAGCGCTTTTATTGTCAATGTAGCTCACGTCATCTGCATTCACAAAATTAACAGAGCAACATTTTCCAGCGGTCCAGATAGCAGGGCAAGCGGACATAGGTGGAAACACTTATTTAACGAAAGTACATTTTTAAATATAAATGTACAATAAAACTCACATAATTATGATTTGTACAAATCGTATAATCGCCTAAGTCGTACATCTGCCCAAGTCCCATTCAAGAGTTTACATTCTATGCAACTTTGACATAACTCGTACAAACAATAAATTATATTCAATGTGTAGTACCAGCTGATACGATTTATGTGAGGTTTACTGTAAATATACATCTATAACATCGTGATGGACATAAGCCCACGTTTATGAGGTAGTAACTATAAAAAGTGCAAATAAAATTGCACCTTTTTTCTCCCTTTCTAACTTTTTCTGGTGGCTTCTTCTCGTTATTTCTTTCTCTGGGATCCACTGGGCTTTGCTCTTGAATTAGCCTTGAAGTTGCTGCTCAGCCTCATATTTCACACTACTAGTGCCTTAAAACGCTTGCAACTTTTTCGCACCTGGTTAGTATCAAAGCATCGGTGACATTCCGATCACAACTGGAGGCCAGATGTGCACTATGTTAAACAAGGTATCCAAAATGTCGATGCAACATGAAAACCACAGAAAACCAGTGTTGCAAACGAGCAGACAAGTATGCAACCCAACATAAAGCTGGGTGAAACCAGCAAGCACATACCCTTAGGGTGCAAAATTGCTCAGAAGGCATTTGCCGAAGTTTCTAAACGTGCAATCTACTCGGATTTGCCAAGTGCTTTAAACACAAAACGTTGAATACTCACTGTGCTTTGAGCTCAAGAGTAAGTCTGAGAACTGTGAAGTGCCCTACAGGTGTGGGGAGAACTGCAGAGAGGGACAGAAACAGCTCTGCTATTTATGCTTGAAGCAGCTCCTCGTTAGTCCAACAATTATTGTAACCTTTCGACCTCACATTTCAAGATTTTTTTTTCTCTCTCTCTCTCTCGCTTCTGAGAAAGTCTTCCCAGCGCTCTTGTCACTGATAGGTCTGTGGAAGGGATCGTAAACGTAAATCACGACTCTGAACTTAAGCAGCAGCAGCAGTGGCTGTGTCTGGCGACTCTGCCCAGACTGCTGCTGTAGCCCCAGCCTCCTGTCCTGTACTGTACTGTACTGTACTGTACTGTACTGTACTGTACTGGTCCTGTCCTGTCCTGTCCTGTCCTGTCCTGTCCTGGTCCTGTACTGTCCTGTCCTGTACTGTCCTGGTCCTGGTCCTGTACTGTACTGTACTGTACTGTACTGTACTGTACTGGTCCTGTCCTGGTCCTGGTCCTGGTCCTGTACTGTCCTGTCCTGTCCTGTCCTGTACTGGTCCTGTCCTGTCCTGGTCCTGTCCTGTCCTGTCCTGTCCTGTACTGGTCCTGTCCTGTCCTGTCCTGTCCTGTCCTGTCCTGTCCTGTCCTGTCCTGTCCTGTCCTGTCCTGTCCTGTCCTGTCCTGTACTGTCCTGTCCTGTCCTGTCCTGTCCTGTCCTGTCCTGTCCTGTCCTGTCCTGTCCTGTCCTGTCCTGTCCTGTCCTGTCCTGTCCTGTCCTGTCCTGGTCCTGGTCCTGTCCTGGTCCTGTCCTGTACTGTACTGTAAAACTGGCCGCTGTTCCTCTCTCATCACTTGTGATCCAGCGCCGTGGGCAACGCTACAAAGCTGCCTTCAGGGGTTGGGGTTTTTACGAGCCTTGTTGCAGTCACACACCGTACCTGGAACCTGACAGCTCCTCTGAAAGCTGCGTTTCACCAAACATCCAACCAACCCTTCAAATCCCCCCCAAAAAAAACTATGCGTCCCGTGGCACAGAATATTAACTGCAACCTAAACAGTGAATGGATCCACTTACAACACATTGCTCTCTTTCTGGGTGGGTTGTTAAGTCCCAACTAAGTTGTAAGCGCTGCAAAAAGTTATCTTATGTGCACGTTTATTTCTCAGTCACCTCGGAAATCACTTGTGTGATAGTGCAGCAAATACCTGACTCCAAAATATGCAACAAAGTGAAGTGCAGTGGTACACACATATACATACATATTGCTCCAGATTTAAAACGGCCACCTTGATACATTGGTACTCTTATTTTTGATTTCTGTAACTGTAGTATTGCAAGAGAAAGAGAGAGGGGGTGGTTATTGCAGATTGTTACATGCATAAGGAGAGAGAGTGTTTGTGCAGATGCAAGGTTAGACTGCAGCAGTTACTCCAAGGCACACACTGGGGTCCCCAAGCCTTGGCTCTTGCCAACCTGCGCCTAATACTTTCCGGCATTAGGTAAGCAGGATATGTCCCTCCAGGGAGAGAGTCACATTCCATTCCAACAATCTATCTCAGGGATTTCCATGTGTAGGTGGGATGCCTGGAATTCTCAGTTTGGTTTGGAAATCAAACCGGGTTTCCGCATGTGTCAGACACCCGGAAGACCAAAAAAAGAGAACAACAACAATTTTTCAGTAAATTTCCGTAATTGTAGCGAACAGCATGTGAAAAAATACAAGTTCACTGAGGTTGTAATTTTGGGGATATTTAAAAATATACAGTACAATATCTAGAATGAAGTATTTTAAAGCAAGGTTAAAAAATGTTTGGGTCAGCTGAGTATCTGACGCGTGCTGAAACCCAGCACTGTGCTTAAGAGTATCCAAACCAAACTGAGGTTTCCAGGCATCCCACCAACATATGGAAATCCCAGAGATAGATTGTTGGAATGGAATGCGCACTCTCTCCCTGGAGGGACACATCCTGCTTAACTAACTCCGGAAAGTATTAGGCGCAGGTTGGCAAAAGCCAAGGCTTATGAGCATGGGGTACCGCTGGAGTCTAACCAGTTAAAACTGTTAGGGCTTTGACTTGCAGGGTTAACGGGAGCTGAGTGGGAGGATTCTCAGTCCCAATGTGAAATGTTAATATGTCACACAAAGCCCAAGTGCATCTGTAAACAACATCAACTTGCACTTATATAGCACGCTTCATGCAGGGTAGCATCTCAGAGCGGTTCACAGTGGCAGGGCCTGACTTCAAGCCCAGTGTGGGGGAAGGTGACCGTAGGCACGGTCAAAAAGAAAGGTGTTCAGGTGGGAACCTCAAAAAGGAGAGAAAGAAGGCAATGTGGAGGGATTGAGGTTCCACAGTTTTGGGGCGTAGTGGCTGAAAGTGAAACCTCCAATGGTAGAGCGTAGGATTCAAGGGATAAGCAGGAGGCTGGTGCCAGTCAAGCAGAGGTGGATTGGGGAGTGAAGAGATCGGAGAGGTAGGGAGGTGTCAGGGAGTGAATGGATTTTAACACAAGTGTGAAGATCTTGATATCAATCTGTTCAATGATGAGGAGCCAGTGGAGCCTGGTCAGATCAGCGAGGGGTGCTTTTGACTAATCCATTCAGGAGGTGACAAACGCATGCACGAGTATTTCAGCTGCATTTAGGGTAAGGTACGGTTGGAGGCCGGGTAATGTAGAGGTGGAGGAAGACGGTTCTGGTCAGGGACCGGATGTGGGAGAAGAAGGACAGCTGGGGTCGAACTGGATGCCTAGATTGCTCACTGGTTTGGTGATTCTGAGGGAGAACCCAGGGAGGCTGAGGAGTTTAGATCCGCAGGAGTGAAGACATTGACGGGAGCCAAGGAGTATGGCTTCCATCTTGTCCACATTCAGCTGTAGGAAGTTTGCACTCATCCAGGCCCTGATGTCTGCCAGACAAGCTGATAGGACATTGGCGGACCTGGAGTTAATGCTGGAATGCTGGAGGAGGCAACGTATATTTGTGTGTCATCCGCATACATGTGGAAGTTTATCCTGTGTCTGCGGATGACATCGCCAAGAGGGAGCATATAGATGAGGAAAAGAAGAGGGCCAAGGATGGAGCCCTGGTGTACCCCGCAGGTGACCGGGTGTGGCTGGGAGGAGAAACCATTTGCTGAGATAAAATGGAGGCGGTTGGTTAAGTAGGACTCAAACCATATGAGTGTGGGCCCACTAAGGTGGATGATGGAGGAGAGGCGGTGTAGGAGGATGGCGTGGTCGACTGTGTTGAACATGGCAGAGAGATCCAGCAGGATGAGAAGACGGAGCCCTGGTCACAGATAGAGAGAATGTCGGTTATAACTTTGACAAGCGCTGTCTCTGTGCTGTGGGCAGCGAGAGGTGTGACCGAAGTTGACCTCTGAAAAATCCATTCCAGGACTTTAGCAAGGAAGAGTAGATTGGAGATGGGACGGTAGTGTGAGAGAATAGAGGGATTGAGATTGGGTTTTTTGAGGAGGGGTGTGATGACATTGGTTTTCAGTGGGAGTGGAACACAGCCTGAGGAGAGAGACTGGTTGACTTCTTAAACTGATGTGAAAAAATACCCCAAAAGTGCCATTAATCATGTCTGGATTACAGATGATTTTTACTCCTTCACAAACCTTGTTTTCCACTGTTTCAAATTCCACGTAGGCTCTCAAGAGACGTACAAAAAGAGAGCCTGCTGATGAAAAAAAGGAAACAATTTTTTTCAGCCACACTATCTATATTTCATCTCTTGTGATTTCATTGCAATGTTTTTGAAGGTTGGTGGGACCAATTTCAATTCTTTCCCAAAACCAGTTGAAGTTTTTTTTATATAGATATATCTATATAAAAATGCAGGATCGTATTACATTCAATTTAAGAGCATTAAACGCAGCTCAATCCCTCTGCTTGTCACTTGTCAGCCAGCCACTTTGGTCCTCATCTTTTTGAAGAAATTCAATACTGTGTTGTGACTGAGTTTCATCTGCCACCTGAAACTCATCAGCTTCAGAAGACCTTTTGTGAAAGACGTGCTGAGTGATGGGGCTTGGCTTTTTGTCAGCGTTCAAGTTTTTTCTCAGGACAATCTTTTAAGCAACAGTTTTCCAGATTTTAGTTCACTGAAAGATCCATCTCTTTTGCTGCTTTTATGCTGCCTTTTGTCGCTTCTACGTACACTTTAATCCAGCTGTTTGTTGCAATATTCAGGGGCAATTTTGCACTATTGGCAAATCTGTTGACAATCCAGTGCTGTGGGGAAGCGCTGCACTATCTGAGGTGCATTTGGATGAGGCAAGATCCCACCTGCCTGTTCAGGTGGATGTTAAAGATCCCATGCCACTAACTAAAAGAGAAGTGAGATTCTCACAGTGTTCTGCCCAACAATCCTCCAGCTAAAATTGGTCATTCACTTCATAGTTGAGCTATGTTGAGCAGCATGCACAATGGTCAGCTATGCAGTTTTAGCTGGTTAGGCTCCAGCAACCCCAACTCACACTCTGGGGTCCCCAAACCTTGGCTCTTACCAACCTGCTTTCCGGAATACTTTCCGGAATTAGGTAAACAGGTGCGTCACTCCAGGGAGAGAGCGCACATTCCATCCCAACAATCTATCTCTGGGATTTCCATGTGTCGGTGGAATGCACGGAAATCTCAGTTTGGTTAGGATATTCTTAAGCATAGTGATGGATTTCCACATGTGTCAGATACCCGGCTGACCAAAAGCAAATGAGCTGCCGTGCTCACCTACAGCAACTATATGTTACAGTAAAATACACACCCATCAAATTTTTTCCATAAAATACACAGCAACTGCACTTTACAGTAAAGTCCCATGAATCGCTTTGAGACATTTCGGTTACATGATAAGGCTCAGTATTAAATCACATATTTATGATATAATAAGTTTGCTGAAATTAATAATTTAATACACAGATATACCATTGCCTACATAACAACATTTTGTATTTAATACAAGTTTACTATTTATTATTTCCAGATCATTGTTTCCTTTAATTAATTAAGTCCCATTTCCTTTGTGATTAAGATAAATGCTTAGCCCCTCCCACCGCTGTTACTTCAAATACCTATTCCACCTGTGTTCACTTTGTGTTCTTCCTCACATTAGGCTCCACAATTAAAATTTCACCTGCAAAATACACATTCACACTACTTTACAGGATATCCTGGGAAGTGCTTTGACACATTTTGACGACGTGGTAAAGCGCTGTATCAAATGCAAAGATTATTATTATTATTATTTCAAATGTAACAATATTACGGTATATAAGAAGGAAGATTAATAAATAAAGGATTCATTAAAAAATAAAGCAGGTAGCAATAGTGAACACACCCAATAGCCCCCTTATATGCAAAAGTTTTGATGTTTTACATGTACACATTGTCGATAAATAAAGGTTACAATGGAAGGTGATTTTAGCCTGAGAATAATTTTCTTAATATTCAAGGTTGTGCAGCATTTTGTAAAATCCTTCAATTTAGTCTTATTCCTGAAGCTGGTTCTCTGCAGTTCTTTTCAGGTACTGCGGAAAATCAGCTTTCAAGGTACGACTGAATAGAATATTTTTCACAAACCATTTTAATACCAATACTTGCATTTGGTGTAGCATGCCTTGAAACATCTCAAACCGTTTCACAGCATTTAAATAGTAGTGACTGTATTTTGTAGATGAATGCAGCAGCCAATTTGCATGTAGCACAGTCCTCCAAACAACCATGAAGTGAATGACCAATTTTATTATGGGGTACTCAGATTATATATTGGAAATGACCCCATGAGAAACTCCCTTCTCTTTTTTTGAATAGTGCCATGAGTTCATTCAAGTCAAATTTGGTCAAGATTGCTGTGGGCAAAATGGCTGCAGCATTTTATACAGCAGCAATTTACATTTACACAAGGTGAATCAGAATCATGAGTTTTTAACTATTAATGATTTTTTTTAAGACGA